TCCTTTCCCCCGCGACGACGTGGTACAATGCGACTGTTGAGTTACGGTAGTATTTGCCTTGTTTGCCCTATTTGTCCTCGATCTCGTGCTTGGCTCGTTCGGCGACCGCACTGTCGGGTCCCCTAAAATCGAGTGTTGATTAGGGGGCACCGTAGGTGTCAAACCATAATGTCCTATTTCCGTCGAATACTCTTCTAGAATACGATTTACAGGGCCAGCGGTATCATTAGCGAGCGTACAATGACGATGCCGCACCGCTCGTGCGAAATGACGAGAAGTATGGGAGGCGGCAGACGAAGTTGGTTCGGAGCAGTTGTTGTCATCAAAGACGAAGGTCGGATGGGTGCCCGGGATGGCTGGGAGATTAGGCTTGTCCGAATTACTTTGTAAAGTCATAGAGAAATATTCCAGTTTAGAAATAAGACGCCGACGCCAACGTCAAGCTCCTCACTCGAGAATAGTCCCGAATTACCTACTAGCAACAAATGAGAAGTGGAGAAGGGTCGGGCTGTGGCCATTGATGGCATAGACCCGTAGAGGATGAGGAGGAGGAGGAAGGGTAAAGTGGCGACAACAAGTATGGGATGTGGATACGAATAGTTAAGCCGGGAGGACCTCATACAGCATTGAGGATCCCGGATTTTTTTTTCTCTCAAACGGAGCGTTCTAGACCAGAAGTTAAGGAAGCTTGTGGTCTATACGAATGCTCCCTGTTCCAAGCTCCTATTCCCTCTATCTAATAAACGCGAGAACTTCCCCTCCGCAAATCTAGTTGACGAAGATGATAAACAAGACAAGGGAGAGAATAACAGGAGAAGAGTGAAGAAAAGAGCAGTTGACAAGAACGTTTCGGCGATATAAGCCTAGCCCACCGTAGGCGGTTAGAATTGCGGGAGAGGTGATGCGTGGTTTAGGTACTCGGCCGTCTAGTGTATGGAGCCTATACCATGCGAGTACATGCACCGGATGCTGATATAGATGGATCTATCGACAGGGTTGAGTGGCCTCAGTGGGATGTTGGGCTTAGGTAAGAGATAATTACTGCGTAAGTGTATTCGTATGAACCGAAGCTAACGAGATTTATAGAGTAGTAACACCGTATGTACTGACGAAGTAGTGGTGTTAATAGTATCAGTCGTAATATTAGATGTAGTAGTAGCGGCAAAGTCGTAATAGGTTTTTTGGCTGGTAGGGTAGTAGCGCGGAAACTGTACTTTCTTTTCTTTTTTTGGGCGGACGGACTAATATGGATGAGGGTTGTTCGATTCAGGTGCGTTTTTGGTGAGGTGGTGTTTCGTGTGTCGTGTGGTTGTATGGTGGTTTGTATGGTTGTATGGTTGTATGGTTGTAGGTATGAATGTCTAACAAGAGAAGTCCTAAGAGAGGTCCTAAGAGAGTCCTGTTCGGGTTCTTTTGGTTTGAGGTAAAACATTCGCGTGGGAGAAGTACCGTCGAATCCAGATCCGAGAGAAATTGGGATTGCAAGGGTCTAATTGATTTTCACGTTCCAGACCCTCAAATAGACCTTGGAACTCCAGCAGTCCGGGTGACGGTTTGGGGAAAGTATCACTGACGATCTCCCTTAGTAGACAGGGGGCTGAAGCTTGTTGATCACTTAAACTTAACTCGGCCACCGCTGAGAATTCCGTGCAGGCAGCCATAATACATATTCTACTGTAATATGTCGTACGTCTTGAAATCAAAAGTAGACTTGATCGTCAAAGGTAGAATACCTTCATTCATTACTTCTGCGCACATCAGTGTAGGCTTATACTTGGGTGTAAGAAGGATATAGTTAAAAAAAAAAAAAAGTTGGTGTTTATGTCAAGTAGTAAATGCAGCTAGAGAAAGCTAACGGCTTTAGCAGGTGTACTTAGAAGTATGTACCTAAGATAAGTCCATACATATGTATATCTGAGTACCGAGGTGTTGCCATTCGGAACCAATCAATCCTACCGGCACCTAAACTCGACGTTGTATAACACAGCCGAATTAAGGCTAGAAACTTCTAGTTACGTGTATCACAACTTTTACGCTCTTACATGCTGTGTTACACGAAATTGCCCTATCCTTCGGGCACAAAACCTTGTATCACCAGGGTTTGAAAAAACGGGTGTAAGTAAATACATAAGGTAAGACGCCTATATGGGAAGTTTTATTCGGATGTGCATATACATATATACATATGAGTAAACGACAATACATTTCCCCATTTACCCCACATAGATCATGACATACATACATCCAAATAGTACTACGTAGCAAGCATGGCTTGCAATGGCCGATCAATGCGGTAAACAAGATCCTCGGTTTCCGCAATAGAGAAAAAGGCCGAATCGTGTATAGATGTATGTATGTATGTAGATTAAGTACATACAAGGTTGAATAGGTAATCTAGATAGGTCTTGCTTGGAATCTACTAGGTTCAAAACGACGTAGTTAGTTAAATCATAAACTTTAACTTTAACTAATTAGGTTAGGTAGGTACATAATAGGACTTGCGAGTCATTATGCTGTAATATGTTTCAAGCAATTAAGAGCCGAAGAGCTTCTTGGGCTACAAGCACATGTCTTTTACATTACACCTGACTCAATACCTACACCAACTAAAATACATCATCTACAAGTACCTACCTATTCTCCTTTAGTTCCCCTGTCCTAACCCCAATTCATATACTCCAGGACTTGTGCCCCGCCTACTAATATACTACCACATCTATATGTACTCCAGTGTGGAGGGGCGGGATGCCGATATTGCTTTCGATATTACGTACCATGTGCTAGGTATCGCATCTGTAGCCATTAGCCATTAACCATTCGTAAAGTCTTACTTTTCGAGTGCATCTAACTATGTCATAATGGTCTGTTCCGAGAAGAGCCCCATGGTTTTGCTTACATTAACAACCATTACGACATTACAACATTACAATAGTATGAGGTAGGTATTGGCAACGTGACAAGGTGATCACCAATCCTTTGGGTTTCTTTTTTTATTATTTTCATTTTTATTTTATTTCTCTTCGATAAGTGTGGGCTTCAATACTATGTTGTGTAGAGCCTTGTGCTTCTTATACCACGTGCCTATACCCGTTGCCCTGGCTAACTCGTATGCTGATCTCGCTTTTTAGTATTTTTTTCTAGGATTGCCTTGCATCTTTATGCTGGCGCTAACGTAACTTTTCGATTCAGATCGTCAATCTCTTAGATGAATCTCCACGCTATCCCGATGAGAAGTTATATAAAAGATCTTATACCCCTTCGATGGAGGATTTCCCCTGATTATTAATAACGACGGTGATGGAAAGCATCACATTTGACTGAATCCTGAATCGACCCCGTGTGAACAATGCATTGGCGGATCACGTCGATCTATAAGTCTAGACCAGTCTGAATCGCAGAAGAAGAAGAAAACGCGAGTCGGCGATTTATTGGATGGGATCCTGTTACGCAAGTCACGAGCTCGGAAGGCATTCTTCAATTCCGAGCTTACTGGCTAATCAGCCCCGATCGCCGATTTCTCCATCCCGTCGGATTATTGTCGGGGAGGAGGCTTTTTTCTGGCTTGGAATTAAAAAGCGAAGGCGGCTGTATCAAATTGGATATATTTATATGAATGTCCAAATAAGGGTACCCGAAATTCAACTATCAACGCCATCAAACAGCCATTTCGCCATCTTGCCATCTCGTGAATCCTTTCAAAGACGAAGGTTAGAGATGATCCCGACCTCTTGCATTAAATATACTTGGTTTAGAATAGCAATTCGAATTTCTTTTTCGCCTCAACATTCACGATATTCTCTTCATTTTCTTCTTCCGCAAATTTATAGAGCGTCAATTAACTATTTAGACAAGCTCGAATTAAGTGATAAGTATAAACTTATTTTGAGACTTGGCACTTTTCTGGACCCTCGAACATCTAATCTCATGCATTAGAATTGCATATTTCAACCTTCTCCATATTCAAGAATGATTGGGTAATGGTTTATAACCTAACCACGACTTCATTATCAAACTTTCAGACTATTATATTTATACCTTGGTCATTTTTACAACATTTGGTCAAGGCTATTCGTCTTATTGTAAGAGCACTTGTCTCGGTTAAGAACAAGTGTCTATGCTCTCATCAACTATCGAATAGCTGAAGCCTTCCTTTATTTCATACGACGGGTATTTCATAAATATAAATGGCCGATGATCGTATGTTGTCATAGACAGCTCAACGCTATGTTTGATAAAGATAGACAATTCGACCCCTATGCTACTGTAACAGTTGTAACTGTAGCTTTTGGGGGCGGACCAATTCATTAAACCGGAACAGGCTCTACCGCCAAGACCCGAGAGGGAGACTCTAGCTGGAAGCACAAATCGAATCAACCAATAGAAATCCTAGTTATCAGATGCATCGCCTAGCCGGCGTCTTGCATAGCCATTGGCTCGTGTAGCTAGGGGTTGTTGAAGTATCCCACCAATCTTGCTGCGGTATACGATCGTAGGCCAAAGGTGAACCAGGGCGAAGCGCCCACCGACGAACCACAAGTCGGCGCTTATAATTGTTCAACGTTGCTATCACCTTTCTCATTGGCTTCTATTTCCCGTACAAGCATATCACCATGCACACTTGTGATTGACCTGCAGCCGCCCTCCCGACACCATTTGGGGGTGTTGGCGCCCATTTCCTTAAAAATGGCCGACCGACTGCCAACTCCCTCTCATATTTGAGCTATTTCGTGAGTTTCGACGCAAGTTTTTATCGTCTCCGCCCAATATACAGGTCCAATTCTTACCATAATCGCCATCGTAGGCGATCCGATGTAAAATACTAGCCGGCCTGCTGGTTCCCAGCGACGCGATATCAGCCAGCTTCGCGAAATCTGCGCATTTAGCCGACTTGTGTAGATTCGGGTTTTTTTTTGTCTTCTACTTCACCAGTTCTAAAGAACCAGCCGGATTCTCTTAGAAGCCGAAGCTAAGAGATCCTTCGCGGCGCGGTCTGTTTCACTATGGGCTATAAACTTTTACATCGAAAATGGAGGTCGACGAGGGGCATGTATTATATGATGATTCCAGAGCTGTTGGGAACTGTAGGGGCATTGGTTGTCACAGCCCTCGCTCAGCCAGACTTATACCGGACTAAGTTATGGCGAGCCGGCAGCGAACTGGGCTTCAATTCGAGCCCTAGTGTTACCCTATGGGCGTACGCCAACTACGAGCCGTTACCGAAAATACCGCTCGTGTGGTCGCAGACGTAAGTGACGACGAGGCTCTATGTACCCTATCCATCCGATCAGAAGACTAATTATGCATGTAGATTGACCGATTTCAACGTCGCAATAGCGGTTCTCAGTCTATTCCTCCTCCTCACAAAGCTCGTAGCGTTTATTATGCACGTCTGGTACCCAATTCTTGCAATGGTCATCAATATCGCACTTCTGGCACTCTACGCGACGAGTATAGCTGGTCAGGCGGGATCAGACTATCTAGACCCAGACCACCCAAGCCCAATAGCCTGGTATATCGCCAAGCCATGCACCGTAGCAGCGAATCAGACTATACAGGGTTACTGCAAGTTAGCGAAGGGCTCTTTTGCCGTAGCATGCATCATGCTGTAAGTATAGGTTTCTGCCCGCTCGTGCTCTTAAATCCGTATTTGGTGGCTAACCGTTGTGACAGAGGTATCTACGTTATTAACCTGGGTATGAATATTTGGGCCATGCTACCAAACCCAAAGAACGACCTAAAGGACGACGAGGACGAAGAGACACCTTCGCCTGCCGCCCTAAAACGAGGAGGCAATTGGGAGATGCATGGTATTCCGCCGACGCCTAGAACAGGCACGCTCCCGTATACGCCACGAACGATGGCTTTTAACACGCTCGAGAGTAAACTCCCGCTGCGACATCAGTATTCATAAGAACCACGTTCCGGTTCTAAGGAAAGGAAGATTCAAAAGACACGGCATATATTCAACCGTGCGTCGAATAAGTGGTGGACTTCTCATCTCGCTCTGGAAGCGGATGTTATTAGAAGATACCCATACGACTTCCGTCGATAATTTGAAACGGGGAGGCGTATTCAAGGCCTACCCTATATAGGAAATTAATTCTAAGATATGTTTGGGTGAGATGATGTAGATTTACGAGGTCGGGGCGCAAGGAATTACTACTACTTGCGAGGCGGAATGATACCATGTGAAGGGAAGAAAAGGGGCCTAGGCTATATACCCACCCCCCTTTTCCCCGGCAGTGTACAATACACGATCCTACGCGATCTATCTCTTGCACCTTCTCCTATCGATGTCAAGAGCTTTTCTAAGTTTGAAAATTCAACGATCATCGTAACCGCGTCGTGTGGCCTCCTCTGACCTCATCCCATAGGCGGTTGCAGTGTTGCTACCTTGTGCTGTTACATACCCCGGTGGGAGGTAGTACTTTGAAGTAGACTTGGAGATGGACGTATGTATGTATACTCCCTCGTATGAGTCTAGCATGTGAGTTTTGGGGGTAAAATATGCAACTTGCGTCGTGTATTTATCCCTCGTCTATTACATTGCAGTTATGATAGTAAAATGTAAATGCACGAGTTAGTTAAGGAGGGAGAAGAGCATTCACGAATGATTTACTATAATACCCATACCTGAGCTCTATGTCCAACCGTCGTATCATCGTCCTCAGTCCGTAGGTCATAAATATATATATACGCCCATCAACACACCACCACCACCACCATCCTATCTAATCCATTTCAATAACCTTCCCCTCCAAAATCCAAAACCACAGCCTCCGAATCCGCAACCCGCACCTCAACAACCCCATCCACAATCCCTATCTTCTCCCCAACCGTCACATTCCCCAGCCTAACCGGCCTCCCGCGATCCAACTCGTAATTATAACTCCAGCCATCCCAGCTAACCCCCGTAACCGCATCGCTGCCATTCGCACGCAACCGCCTCACCACGACCTCCCCGCCCCCCACGTCCGCCCCCAGGCCCGCAAACCGATATGTTCCCAGCGGCCGCGGGGCCGGGTTTAGTTCCGCGCCCCCGGTGCCGTTGAGCGTGTAGTTGTACGCGCGCAGGTTCAGCACTAGGATCCGGGCCAGCGCGCCGCTGGGCTCGTACGCCGCGTACGCGACGTCGGTGTCGGTGTCGGTGTCGGTGTTGCCGGATGATAGGGGGACTGGGGCGATGAGGGTTCCGGCGGTGCCGAGGAATGCGGCCGCGGCTATGTTGCCGTAGTACGGGGGCTTGGTGCCGATGGCGGTTTTGTTGGTGGTGGTGGGTTGCCAGGAAGCGTAGCGGTAGTTAGTCTGGGGTTGGGATGGGGGTTAGTAGGGGTTTTTGTTGGGGTAGATTAGGTGTGTAAGGTGGGTAGGTAGATAAATAGCAGCGGAAAGAGAAAAGGGGCTGTGTATGGCTTGAGAGAGAAGAAAGTATGGGTGGGTGAATGGGTGGATAAGTGTTACGTACGCCCATGTGAAAGTGCACACGACCTATTCCCACCGCGGCGCAGTGAAGCGCGAAGTCGACGGCCCAAAGTGCAGCGCCGAATGTGTTCGATAGCCCCGGACGTCCTTGGTGGTACAGGGAGTTGGTCTCGCCGAGGATATACGGGATTCCAGGTTTGATCGTTGCGTTTTCGGCTGTGTGGGCGCTGACGCTGAGGGTTGTCTTTGTATGGTTCATTAGTGTGTTCTGGAGCGTGACACCCAGGGTCTCGGCGCCGGATATGTAGCTATTTAGGATGTAAGCAAGTGAGAGATGTAAGAGTGTAGAAACGCTGGTAGGTGCATTACTTATGGGAAGAGAAAAGTTTGATATCACCGTCCGCGTCGATGCCGTCGGCCCATGTCCGAGGCGCGTTTAGGTGGTTCGCAGTACCGGCAAATGACGGAGCTAAATATCCATATATATCATTACCAAGGAGATCTGGACAACTCGTTTCTAGCACACTCCTAATAGCTCTTGTTCCATTGAGCCACTCTGCTACGTAGTCCGACTCGTTATAATCAGATGCCCTAACCGCCGGGGAGAAGAGATCAGGCTCGTTTCCGTACTCCCACAGGTATAGTTTATCCTTGCCCAAGGCTTTACAAGCTAGCGGCACAGTCTGTAGAAGCGTCTCCCACTGCCTGTCATCATGGTTCCCGCCCAAGTTGAAGCCATGTGAAAATTTGACGTTGGGCCACGTACTATATGATTCAAAGTACGATGGTCCAATCTCAATGGTAGTCGGGTAGTCTGTAGACCTCGAAAGGTTATAAGTGCCATTGAGAGCAATAGTTAGCTCGGAGTTATATATGGCAAAATCTTGTGTGTTTCCTCCAACCCGTATATACGGTTTCGTTCCGGAAAATGCACTGAGGTTATCTAGTAAGTTATTTGAGAAGTCGTTGGGGTTGGACTTGTTGCCTGTCCTACATCTTAGATTGGAGATCATTGATTTATTGGTTACTGTATATGTAAAAGTTCTTACCGGCAAAATCAGGAAATGATGAGAACTCGATTGAATAGCTTATAAAGCTATCTAGGGGTTGGATGGCATTTACAGAGCTCGCTATGCTTCCAAAGGTATATATCGTGGTTTCCGCCATGGCTAGGCTAGTCTGTGCTAATAGCATGTATCTATTACTAGCCTTCATAGATCTTCTGAGGTGTTCGAATATTTTGATTAATAGATAGGATTCATAGATATTCTTTCACGCCTAACATAGGTATAAGTTAAGTAATATAGTTATAAAATATAACTAATTATAAAAACTATTTCTATAACTTCTAAGTGACCAATTCCTCGAAAGAGCCAGCCAAGACAACCGAGTATTCTATTAAATATGAAAGCAATTTACTCTCCTCACCTATACGATTCAATTGTATCATAGGTAGAATATACGAACGAGCTAATAACAGCTCCCCAAGCTGCCAGCAGACTGGTGGAATATATTTACCGCTACCACCCATGAACGGGCACTGGTTCCCTCAATAGTCACCTTATTTGAAGGTGGAAACCTCGATTTGGAGATGATCTCTACTTAAGGTGCATCATGTAAGAGATGCGGGGGGGATGCATGGAGGTTGCATGCCGAAGGATACCCAAAAAGCTTGTTGGTCCAGCTTTTTTTTTTCTCATCTCGTAAGAAATAATGGTGTTCGTTCTATAAAAGAGATTATAGATTATATAAGAGATCTATATCAGATTAGGTACCTATCATGATTTGGTTTAACATTCTTCCAGCCGAGGACTATTAAGATTAAAATAATTATATAAGCTATTGTGTAAGTTAAAAAGCCGATAACTATAAATTTTTATAAACTCGGATGGACCTTCTTAAATAGGACTATTAACTATTTTCAGCAATTGATATCGTCTTTAGTACAGCAAGAATACCCCACAATGAACTCCCTCAGGGGTCATTTAGGTACCACCTAGGGATTAGTGCCCCTCTAAAACGCCGATGTCGTCAATGTTATCAAGCCGACGTCACTTTAAACGTCTTAAATCTATCAAATTTAGAATCATTTCATTTCAATGAATAAGCGTAAACATCGGGATAATTGGGTTATGATACCCTGATGACTTACAAATCGATTGACTTCCCCTGAAGCTTTTCTAGTCTCTTTGTGGTAACTTAGGATTTAATCAACTAATATCGCTCGTCCTCGAAGCAATTCACATATCTCTTCTCACGATGAGTTTCCTAAGGAGCTTACAGAGGAGCGTAACATCTCAATCGCGACTTGCTGTAAGATCGAGCTTTCAAAGAACAAACCTTCCACTCATAATGACGCGGTTAGCTTCTAGTAGAGCACCAAAGGTAAGCTTTGGAAAATAACGCTTAGTTAATTATGAATCTCTGTACTAATCATGTTCTAGCTCAACGATCCATCCCTCTTCAAGACTGATGTCTGTTATGTAAACGGAGAATGGATCAAGGCAGCCTCGGGTAAGACCTTTGAAGTCTACGACCCGGCTACGGGAGACCTCATTGGCACATCTCCTGAGTTTACTGGCAAGGACACTGAGAATGCCATCGCTGCTGCTGCTGCAGCGTTCCCTAGTTTCCGGACGAAGACTGGTCGGGAGAAGGCTAGATTACTACGCAAATGGTATGACTTGGTAATCGAGAACTCTGACGACCTTGCAAAGCTTATCACGTGGGAGAACGGCAAGCCGTTCGCGGATGCGAAGGGCGAGGTGACCTACGCCGCTAGTTTTTTCGAATGGTTCAGTGAGGAGGCGCCTAGAGTATACGGCGATTCGATACCGGCTACCGTACCAGGAAACAGAGTTGTGACTATCAAGCAGCCCGTCGGTGTCTGCGGTTTAATTACGCCATGGAACTTTCCCGCTGCCATGGTCACTCGAAAGCTCGGTCCTGCTCTAGCGGCTGGCTGCACAGTCGTTGTTAAGGCACCTGGAGAGACCCCATTTACCGCCCTCGCCTTGGCCGAGTTAGCGCACAGAGCTGGAATTCCGAAAGGCGTTGTTAACTTCGTGACAACCTTAAAGAACACACCTGAGGTCGGAGAGACGCTGGCGACTCACCCTACCGTACGGAAGATATCTTTTACAGGATCGACGGGCGTAGGAAGGCTCCTCATGAAGCAGGCTTCTCCAACCTTGAAGATCCTGTCTATGGAACTGGGAGGTAACGCACCATTCATCGTGTTTGACGATGCCGATGTCGACGCGGCTGTCACAGGCGCCATCGCCTCCAAATTCCGCTCGTCCGGCCAGACTTGCGTGTGTGCCAATAGGATATACGTCCAAAAGGGTATCTACGATGAGTTTGCAAAGAAGTTTGCAGAGAAGGTTAAGGAATTCAAGGTTGGCAATGGGTTTGACGAAGGCATCACCCACGGACCTCTGATCCACGACCGAGCCATCTCGAAAGTAGAGGCTCACATTAAAGACGCCGAGAAGAAGGGAGGTAAGGTGGTTGTCGGCGGACAGAAACTGCCGGACCTGGGAGCTAATTTCTACCAACCTACCGTCATCACTGGAATGACCAAGGACATGGCTATCGCAGGCGAGGAGACCTTTGGACCTGTGGCCGGATTATTCTCATTCGCCACGGAGCAAGAAGTAGTAGATTTAGCAAACTCTGCCGAGGTCGGTTTAGCAGGCTATTTCTTCTCGCGAGACTTGGAGCGGATTACAAGGGTGGCTGAAGCGCTAGAAGTAGGAATGGTGGGCGTCAACACAGGTCTAATTTCAGACACTGCTTCGCCATTTGGAGGTGTGAAACAATCCGGATTCGGCAGAGAGGGATCTAAATATGGTATTGACGAATACTTGAACATCAAGACGATAACGTGGGGAGGCATGAATAAGCCGCTGCAAAGTTGAATGTTTATTGTGAAGTAATCTATAATACTAGCGTTGACGGTTAGAAAAATGAAATTGAAGATCTTTATCAGAAGAAATTGAGCATAATTAAACTGGATTGAATCATATGATTAATTAAAGGCAGTTTCTGTCGATAATATCTACTATGTATGAAGCTAATACGAAGCTGCTCTAGCTAGGTATCTGCATTAGAAAAGGAGCAGTTGAAAGTGGATATCGCATACAATCATATCCCACTTCTTCCCTCGCTTAAACGCATTAACCAGTAACGTAGCACCGCCAAAGCTTCGGAGAATCTAAATCTCGAAAATTTCAAGATACTTCGAAATCAACCGTCCGGGCTTCAACATCACACCGCAATTGGGCCCGTCATGATCCGGCATCCGCTAAACTCGGCAGTCAGCCGCACCAGGCCAGACCTAAACCGAGTCACCGACGGCATCGCCGCTTCCCTACGGCAATTCTCCGTGTCCGCGCGCCGGAGCGCCGAAGACAACGATGACGATGACTCGCGGAGACCTTCCAGTCGCCAGCGTTCCATCGCTGCTGTGAACGAGCTTATTGCGACGGTGGATAGCGGCATTAGCGCATCGAGGCCAACCCAGAACACAGCAGCGAATGCTCCGCCTCCCGCCCGAAGCCAGGGCCCTAATATTATCACTCTGAAGAACATACCCCGCGGCGGCTTCAGCGGCATAACGAGGACTACGCCCGGCGGTCCGAATATCATCAGAACCGATAGCTTGCCGTCTCGCGGCGGCTTTAACAGCACGGGAAGGACTGGCCCACCTACCGGCATGCCGCCTCGATTCGGTGCAAATGGTGGTCCGAATATCATCCGAGGCGGTTTCCGCGGTCGCGGGGGAGGCGGCAACTCTCCGTCCGGCGGCGGATCTCCACGATTTGGGCCTTCACGACGGGGAGGGCCGGGCGGTGGCGGCGGCGGCGGTGGCGGTGGTGGAAACCGACGGCCAGACGACCGACCACGGCGAGGACGCGGATCCCGTCGACGAAACGACGACGACGAGAAAGGCGGCAGACAGCGCGAAGGAGAGCAACAGGAGGGAGAAGACAGCGAGATAGACAACCCCGCCATCAGAGCATACCTCGAGGGCAAAGAAACCGGCAGGACCGTCGCCTTCAACCCCAGCCTCTCGCTAGCCTCGCTCGCGGGCTGGGGCCCCGCCGTAGCCACGTCCGCGACGCCCTTCGGCCAGGGCGAGACGGTCCTCCGACAAGCGCGCATTCTGGGCGGCGGCCAGGCGTTCCACCCGCAGCACCTGGAGACGCCGCTGTCGCTGCACCTGGCGTGGCGGGACGGCAACGGCGCGTTCGTGCCGCCGTCGGACGAGGCGCGGCTGTGGAGGAAACAGGGCCTTAAGGACAGGCCGTTCGAGGCCCCGGCCGAGGTCAAGACGGCGGTGCTGGAGGATGCGCTGCTGGGGAGGTATGGCGAGGGGCCCAAGTACGCGGATCCCGAGGATACGATTGGGACTCTGCGCAGCTACGTCCGGAGAGACGGCACGTGGAATGCGCATGCGGAGAGGGGTATTGAGGCCAAGGTTCGGAGTCTGCTGGGCCAGTCTGGTCAGCCAGCTGCTAAGGCCGGTAGTGGTGCTGCTGCGAAGAAGCCAGAGGCTAAGGCTTGATTTATCTAGCACCTCCCTCTACGATGTTCCGGTGGGAATCGGGATGGACGTATGGTTCAGCGTCTTTAGATTCGGGCTTTGAGCATACATGAAATGTACCGTTACCACGCGACGCATGTAACAATAACAGGTAGTTTATAATACATCTGTGCTATATGACTATGCACGCCTCTGCTGATCAAGCCGGGCCATAAACACCCCTATTTACTCTAGGTCAATAATGGCCATGTACATTGCAACCATAGAGTAATGTAATGTAATGTAATGTAATGTAATGTAATACTATGCCGGCCTCCTTAAACAGGCAGACTCTTAAGCACATCCTTCTCCAAATCATCAATCTCCACCATCTTAGCCTTAATAATCTTATCCAGCTCCTTATCCGCCGTCCTCTTGAGATCGGGACCAATCTCGCTGTTTTTGCGCCACGTCACATGCAGCTTATCGCGTTTCTGGCGCACGCTCCTGACGCGGTCTCTCCAGTCGTTACAGACGGCTTTCGCGCGCTTGAGCAGATCATCCCGCGTCTCGGGCTCGATCTTGAGGATCAGCTCGAGCTCGTTGTCCGGGTCGCGCTGCGGCTGCTGGTTGAAGTCGGCGCTGGCCTGGACGGCGCTCATGATCGGCTTGACGTACGCCGCCTCGTGCGCGATCAGGCTGATGGTGCGCCCGCCCCGCGATATCACTTGCGCTACCTCCCGCAGCGGGTACGTGACTCCCGGCTCCTTGCGGTCCGGCTGCACGCGCAGCGCCCCTATTATGTCCGGGTTGAAGCGCCCGCCCGCCCGCAGCTTCTTGAGCAGCTCCCGGTGGTGCTCGTCGTGCCGGCGGATGCGCGACTCCACGTCTGCGAAGTTGAGCGGCTCTTCGGGGTTGGCGGGTGGGTGCTTGGGCCCGTTGGGGTCGTCGGCTTCGGCGTCCCCGCTGCTGCTGCTGCTGTTGCTGCTCCCGCGGGTGACGGACGCTTGCTTCTTGTGGTCTTCGCGCGTCTTGTCCTTGGGCGCTTTGCTCTTCCACACGGGCGAGGTCGTGTGCAGGGCACGAATGTTGCTGCTACCCGCGGGGTGTTGGGGTAGGAGGAGGATGCATGGGCGAAGGGATGGCGGGGTAGTGGTTGTGGTGGTGGTGGTGTCTAAGATGTAGCGTGGGCGGATTATGTCGTGGCTGGTTTAAAGAGTGTCAGTACCTAATGTATGTATATAATATATATAGAGAGAGAGAGAGAGAGACAGCTGAGTCAATTGGGAAGACTGACACTCGCCCAAGCTCAGGACGAGCTCGGCTTTGTCGTAGCAATGCTCTGGCAGCCGTGGCTCGCATTGTGTTTTCCTTTTTTATCTTACTGAATTAAGTTGAAGTGGAACAGTTTCGTGAGCTAAATTTTAAGGTTGAGTTCAAGGTTGAAGTTGGAGTTTGCATGTATATAATTACCAACCGTAGTTATCGATAAGAATTACTCGTACTTTTGGTGTGTGATTTTATACTTAAATAGCTCTACTTGACGTAGGAGGAGAGGAAAGAGCAAACTGGTTCTGAAGTGTTATTTTATAGAGCAATTGCAATCAGCCTGGATGCCTACCTAAGATGCCTAGATGCCTATATGTATATAATAAAAAGCAATTATGTATTTCTTCAAACAACTCTACGCTGCCTAAAAATGTTTCACACAGGTCTCAGTTCGATATTCGATGATCCCTTTGCTTTTTGTACATTGTAAAAACACTTACACCTATAAGTTATAACTTGTCTCTCAAATATACAATATTTCCATCGTTATGATAGGTAAAAAGAAGTAAAATCATACAACGTATAAAAGTAACCATTACTATAAGTTAACCAAGAAGAAGTTGAGTGAGTTTAAGCCGTTAGATCTAATGTCTACAAACTTAAAGGCTCTAGCGTCATACCTATTCCACACTGTATTTCCGTCGGGACTCTTATTTAGTGCGCTAATTCTACCGCTAGCAAACAAGCCAATATAGTTCATTGTAAAGAGCCGAATTTTCATCCGAGGATCTGGTTTCTCACAAATCACTTTCCGTGGTCAACTGGTGTAGTGGTCATCACGTCTGTCTTACAATTTCACTGTATAGTGTATTGTGAGGACACAGAAGGTCGCAGGTTCGATCCCTGCGTTGATCAACTTTTTGCATTTATTTCATATAGAATTTATTAAATGCGATAGTTAATAATTTTAATAAAGTCCACCTTTCTAGGAATTCTTTTTTTCCTGTTATTAATTTCCATCCGCAACATGCTATCAAATTCTCAAGATCTTCATCTAGTCTTCCTACCGGTTGTTACCAACAAGAGTACGAGTAAAAAAATGAATGTGCTTGATATACACATAACCATTTATATATAGGTACCTAATATATAGTTATTATGATGTAGCATAATAATTTCGAGACTTAATATTCAAACATCTAAATTTCTCATCTCGCAATATAGTAAACAGTACACAAGGCCTGGGCCCTCTAGGATTAATTCTACACATACACAATGGTGCGGTCTTGCTAGGGAAAGGGACAATCTACGCAGACGCCTTAGTTCTCTTCCCCCTTTTCGCGCCCCTGCCCTTTTGCCTACCAGCAGTTTTCTTAACGCCATTATCTTTATTCGCATCGGCGTATTCATCATCATCGTCGTCATCATCAATCGTAATCGTATTCCCGGCCTTCCTCTTCCTCCGCGCAGATTGTTGTGGAGCTGGCACATGACTCTCGTCCTCGGCTTCCGCTCCCGTAGCAGTAGAAATGTCCCCGACTACAGCGTTCGCGCGCAGCTTATTAACCGCTTGAGCCATGCGCTTGCTCCCTTGGACCCTCTGTCTCGGGGCAAATGCTTCTTTTACCCCGACACCGACGGCGCCTTCGAAGTACCTTGTGATGTTGCTCTGTGTACCTTCGGCCTCCCGACGGTTCATGTCCCTAATCACGGGGACGAGGACTTCGTCCGTTCGTTCCTCGCTCCATCCGATTGTGCTCATTAAGAATTGTCGTAGGCCCGCAACATCAGGTACGCCCCATTGGAACTGGTCTGGGGTACTGTCAACCTCTGGGTGTAAGTAAGCGTCGTAGACGGCTATATTAGGGAAACCGGGAGGCAGGAACAGCTTTGTGGCCTGGGATTTGCGGAATTTCCTTCGGAAGGTTGATGATTGATCTGCTTCCTTTGGTCGGTTGTTAATCTGGACGTCTTGCCACCACTCTCGAAACTTCGTGAGCCCGTCTCTACCGGGAAACTCGGAAAGAATCTCGACGGCGGTCACGGGCCCGACTCCCGGGAGACCCTCCGTGTAATCGGAGCCGAGTAGCTGGGCCAAGGATATTAGTTGCTCGCGAGAAAGTGATAGTTCCTTTTCAAGATCAGAACCGAGGTAGCATTCGACGAACTTGTTGCTATTGAACATGTTCTTATACACTCGCGTGCCGCCAAATAAAAATGTATCCGAATCGTCCGTCACGATACCATCGACCAGGCCAAGATTAACCAGCTCGGCACATTGAGCTTCTGCTTCCATTGGCGCGGTGATGTAAGGAATACCAAAAAATCGCAATAAAGCTTGACATTCGGTGATCATGATCTGAGTAACTTCATCCGCATCTCTTCGGTCCTTTTTCTGTTGTGTTCGTAGCGCCTTGAGTTCTCGCTCATAAGCTTCCTGGTTCTCCTTCTCAGACTTGTGATTTAGTTGACTAGCAAAGCGTGCATGCTCTTCGGCTTCTTCGGCCATCTGGGCAAGTAGTTCCTCTTCCTCAGGATCGCTAAATTCATTGTCATCAAACTCAGCATCACCAAAAATCTCGTCGTTAGTGGCATCGGCTACGGGGATTGATCTATTAGGCGACTCAAAAGCTTCTGGCATAGGCGCTTCAACGTCATCAAAAGTAGGCTCAGGGGATGCTAGTTGAGAAGCAACATCATTGCTGATGGGTTCTTCTGGCGGCTGTAAAATCTCAACTTCTTCAAAATCTGGTTCTGGTGAAGCTGATTTGGAGGCTGATTCAAGACTAGGTATTGTATCATCAATTGCTTCGGTTTGGGACGTAGCTTGCTCTTGCACGATATCTACGCGATGCGTGTTCTCATGTTGGTCTTCCTCATTAGCAACTGGAGGATTGACCTTTGTCAGAGTAGCAGGAGATCGTCGTAGTGTGTCTCGATCCTCTTCCCTGTGTACAGAGCTTTTCTGATGCAGCGACGGGGGTGCCTCAATAATTTGAATATCACTTTCGTCGTCCGAGGACTCGATCTCGATAATTGCATCCTTGCGCCACCGCCTTTCCTCTTCAAGTGCAGCTTCTCGATCCTGCTCGTTAATCTCATGCTCGATAGCTTGTCGTGCCTTTATAGATTCGCGGATATCTGATTCATCTTGCATCATCCATGGTGGTAGAGGACGGGCTGCTTCACTTTCTTGCACCTTGTCATCGGCATTAGCATCAGCATCGTCACCACCATCTCGTATGAAGCCACCTGCGAGCTCATCAGACGCTGGTTCTTTTCTAGCCTCCTTCTCGAATACTTTTGCAGGTGCCTTCTCTTTATTTGCAAAAATACTAGACTTCCAATCCAGTTTCTCGAATGGCAAAGGCCCATCAAATGGATTCTTTACATTTCGAACCACTGGCACAGGTTGGGGTTTGAAGATTGGTGCTTTCTTTTTCCTTTTTGATAGAGCAGCTCGTAGATCGACTTCGCTATCGCTACTCTCGTTGCTATCCCGTCGTGCCGGCATAGGCTTAGATATCGCCGCATTAGCTCTATTGTTCACAATATGCGCGATCATATTCCCACTTGTGGAGGCGATCGGCTTTGGCCCTTCGGTAGCTTTTTGTGTCCACTCAGGAACAGGAACATCTTCAAATTCTTCTTCCTCTTCTTCCCTCTCTCCCGATGAGGTTACCCCGTGCTGGTTCCTCAGAGACAAGGCGATAGCTCGGCTAAGGTCCTCTTCCTCATCGTTAATAAGGATATCCTCCCCGTTTCGAGGCTCAAAAAGATCATTAACGCTATCACCAACATCCCCTCCAACAAATAGGGACTCATCTTCGTCATCGGCGGGGGTATCTTCTTGACCATTCTGTAATCTAGTTTCATATATTTGTCGTCTTCGCACCTCAGCGTCATAAGCAGCTCTAGCTTCGGGCTCAAGTCTTGGTAAACGATTTATACCTTCGATAGGTACATCTTCGAAATCTTCATCTTCCCAATCGTCATCATCTTCCTTAGCCTGGTACTGAAAATCTAGGGCATCAACATCAATAGGTTTGTGTATCTCTCCACGATCTTTCTCTTTGCTAACAACACCAAGGGCCCATCCACCCTCAGCCCCTTCATTCTTGACTAGGATATATTCGCGATCTTTCTCGCCTGCTATACGCGCATTTTTTGCTAGTGTAAGATCAGTTCCGGTCATTCCGGCTTCCTGCATAAGTCTTTGCGTTAAATGATTTCTCTCCCGCACCCTCTCGATCTGAAATCGGGAAAATGCCATTCTGTCAGGGAACATGCCATCCAATTGCTCCTTGCTTAAACCCATCCTCAATCGACTTCGTATTCTTGCTGCGTTAAGGATATTATATCTATCAACGGGCGGTAGACTCTTAAAAAACTCGCCTTCGAAGTCGATCTTGCTGAAGTCGTAGACGTTGATATCCTCGCCACTGTTGAATTGCCTTGCATACTCCTCCAACTCCTCTATACTCATAATGCGAGGATCTTCCGGTCGACCCATACCCTCAATACCCCCGTCTAATTCCGGTAAGTGATAGGCATCTTGCTTGTAGAACTTCCTATTCTTCTGCCTTTCGGTTTGGCTCATTCCCAGCTCATCCACATAAACCAGCTGATCTACATCGGGGAGCTCTTCAGCAGGCTCATCTACGTCCGGTCTTCCTTCCGCTTCACGCTCTACTCTCCTCCGGCGCTTCTCGTCCTCTTCCTCTGCTATCCGGTGCATCTGCACAGCTAATAGCTTACCAGCCGTACGGACCGCATCCTCTCTTCGACCCTCCCGTCTTCTTTTTCGGTTTGTGATAGTCTGGCGCTTCAGGGCTGGAGCACCACCATCAAACACGAAGACAGGTTGAATGCCGAACCATAGTAGCTTGCATATGCGGCGGAAGAAGCCGACAACATGCGAGTTGCGTAGAGCATTTCCTTCTTTATCGCGAACGGCCTTGAGGAACTGATATATCCAGATAGATGCATCGACAGCGAGACGTTTACGATTTAGGGTGGCGAGATTCGTTGGACGGGCACACGGCTGCACCACGGTCCAGAGCCCGTTCACACCCATGTTGGCGTGGGACTCGCAAGATCAATGAAGGTAATTTATTTAATGCTATAGAATTGAAGCGAAACCTTCATATATAATGGAATAGAGGTCGCATGGTTAGCGGTATCCATCTAAGCGGTGTATATTAATTTCAAGTGGACAAGATAAAAGAGCTTATCGTTGCCTGAAATTGTCATTGGAAGGTAGAAAGGATGGATGACGATGACTCGTCGCCGCACCGCGACAAATACGTACCTACATTAATCGCGTCTAGAGCTTGACTTACAGGGGTTTCCCTGTCATGTTTAAAGTGGTGGCAGCTACAAGTTACAAAGTTCAAAAATGCAGCTCCCTATCGATAAGCCCTATAATATCTTGCCCCTCTTCGCTACTCTTCGTAGTAATTCGTAGCTCTTTGCTGTAGCACAAAGACACGCTTTCGTCGCGTATCATGAGAAGCCGAATAATATTTAATCCAATACCGCCATAGGATATCCTAGGACTACTTGTCTTAGAGAGAGATATATATACAATATATAATAAGAGCATGGAACCCGATATGGAACCGGCAGAAGCCGAAACATTCCTCAAGTCGCTGCTCAACAAGAACTTACGCATCTACGCAACAGACGGACGCATCTTCATAGGGAACTTCAAATGCACAGATACGGTTCGTCACCACCCTCTACATAGCCACACCTCGACCATACCATGCTAAGATATATATATGTCTCTAGCATAGCAACATAGTCCTATCGCTCACCTACGAATATCGCGAGCCGTCGCAGCAAAAACTCGCCGAAGCCAAAGCCGCGAGCTCCTCATCCAGCGCGGATAAGGTGGCGCTAGACATGACGTCGCGGTACCTAGGCCTCGTCGTCGTCCCCGGGGAGCATATCGTCAAGATAGAGGTAGAGGAGTTCTCAAGCCAGGCTAAGAGCCGGTCGATATTAGAGCGGAGGGACATCTACGGCGCTCGGTGATATAGGGTTGCGAACGACGGAAATCCAAAGATCTTACGGAGACTTGTTTGTCCAATCATCGCGCGGTCCGTAGAGGGCAGCTAGATTCGGAGTCAGCCTAAAGGTCGGACGCACCGGGGCCAATCAACCAAACTTCCGACGTTGGTTCGGGGTGGTGGCGTTCTACAGAAATAGATACCCGAGGGTACGGGTTATTATAGAGTGGCGTTTGCAGCGCATCCAAGGGTTTTGATTATAACACAGGCGCGAGGCGATACTCGGTCGCTATATACGAATAAGAAGGACAAGGGGAGCTGCGACGGTCCAATTCGTTAACGAAGCATAAGGCATGACTTCACATAGACGAGACCCGTAGACAGTAGAAAGATTAGAGGTCTAACTAGTAATTTTCGATACTACTAACGATTGTTAGCCAATTGAGTATGTTTCTACCCGACATTACTCAATACAATTTTGCAGCGATGTAGTTATAGGAGTAGTTCACAATTCGTCTTTATATACATAAGCCTCCTATAGTAAAAACTTCAAGCTGTTTTCTTCCTATTACCGATCAACTCTACAATTCAAGAAGACTATTCTATGTTTGAGCTGACGCGGCATTTATCATTGAGTCTTATGTCATTTTCAATGTAACTATAAGAGCATCAATTCGCTAGCAGAGCTATTCCGAAGTTGAGCACGAACCGAAACTGATTGAGATACTTCCGAATAAGGCCTGAGCTACCTATGAGCTAACATTAACAGGTAGATACCAATCAATTTTATGACATTGCGTCCGTGAATGATTATATAACGGATTTTATTAAGGTATTTGGACACACAGTAGAAGCATAGGTAGCACTTAAATAAGATGCATATCATCAAAGTCTTACATTATAGAAATAGAAACAGCTCAACTGGTGTTTTTATTATAGTTTTATAAAATATCGTTTCGCTAATGACGTAAAAGTCGACAATGGCAATGGAATACAACTAATGAAAGTACAATGATCTAGTCCGCACTACCATCTCAATTTAGAAGTTTTCAACTATGACGGCAATGGAAGCCGGCTTCTGTTATAGTTACAAAAGCCTCAGAAATACTACAAATATACTAGTACAAACATACGGACTTGAATAGTGTGTGATTCAAAATTGGTGCTCTATAAAAAGTCCACAATATTCCTAATCTACCTACCTAGGTAGATACCGAAAAGATGTATGTGATCTATTATCATCTCCCGGCTGAAGATACTAACCTAGTGTAACGAATTACGAAGAACTTACACTATGTAGGAATGATATATGCGACCAAGGTGGGGTTAACTTGGAAGCGAATTCAAGTATCAGGTAGCCAAGTATTACTAGGGTGTCGGGGAAATGAGGGGCATGAATTTCGGTATTAGAGGTGAGTTTCGTATATTAAAACCGATCTTCAAGAGTCTAAGTTGTCGGAGATGATGCATTGCCGTTACGCACAAAACGTCTCAGCCATCTCGTTCTCCACAGGTCTACCCGGTTTCGAGGAATCTCATATTTGATGTACAACTAGAACCACTTATCTCATCACTAGTGTCATAGTATAGCCGAAAGGACACTGCACTGCTGGTGATTTAGTGTTAATAAAATCGGCACAACACCACCTACATCTCTAGTTGAATATCCATCAAGTCTCCGCAAACATGTCAACGTACACGGTACCGTTCGTTATTAATGGCGAGGAACGCCTCGTCGAGAAGACCTTCGACGTGACATCACCTAGCACCGGCAAGGTCTTGCATAAATGTAGTATAGCAACAGAGGCAGAAGCTCTCATAGCTATTGAGGCTGCCGCAGCTGCTGGTCAGCAATGGCGAGATACTCCCGTAGCCGAGCGTCGAGATATTTTTCTCAGGGCAGCTGAGATCATGAGCAAGAGGAAGGAGGAACTAGCCACGTATATGATCGACGAAGTTGGGGCGGCACGCAGCTGGGCCGACTTCAATATCAACCTCACCATTGATATGTTCAAGGACGTAGCGGGACGGACGGCTGCTGTGGAAGGCACCATTCCTGCGTGTGTGCCGGGTATCACAGCCCTGGTCGTGAAGGAACCGTACGGTGTTGTGTTAGCAATGGCTCCTTGGTAAATATCCCTCAGTCAATTATCAGAACCTAGGCTCACCACTACAAAGGAACGCACCGTATATATTAGGCACCCGCTCGGTGCTCTTCCCGATTGCGGCTGGTTGTACAGTTGTTTTCAAGGGATCCGAATTGGCGCCACGTACTCATCACGCTATCCTGTCTATTCTCGACGAGGCCGGCCTACCCAAAGGAGTAGTGAACTACATAGTAACCGACCCGGCTCACGCGCCATCCGTTACGGAGTCTCTGATCGCAAACCCACATGTCAAAAAGATCAACTTCACCGGAAGTACGGCGGTGGGGAAGATCATCGCAAAGATTGCGGGTCAGTACCTAAAACCTCTCGTCCTAGAGCTTGGCGGCAAGGCACCGGCTATCGTGTGGGAAGATGCCGACTTAGACATTGCTGCAGAGCAATGCACCCTAGGGGCGTTCTTCTTCTCCGGGCAAGTCTGTATGAGCACGGAGAGAATAATCGTGCATAAGAAGATCAGCGAAGCATTCAAAGAGAAGTTGGTTGCAGCCATAGAGAACATCTTCCCATCGAAAAGTGATGCCTTAGTTTTGATCAACGCTCGAGGCGTTGATAAGAACAAGAATCTCTTAAAAGATGCGCTTAGTAAGGGTGCCGTTCTCCTCAACGGAGATGTGGACGCTGCAGAGAGCTCAAAGACCAGGTTGAGACCAATAGTCGCCAGTAAGGTGACACCTGACATGGACCTATACAAACAAGAATCGTTTGGCCCAACAGTGAGTCTTATTGAAGTTGAGACCGAAGAAGAGGCTCTGCGAATAGCCAACGATACTGAGTATGGCCTCGCATCCGCCGTCTTCACCGAGGATTTAAAAGTTGGCCTGCGGTTTGCACGAGGCATAGAGACTGGGGCGGTTCATATTAATAATATGACAATTCACGACGAGACGGCATTACCGCATGGAGGAAGTAAGGAGAGCGGATATGGGCGATTCAATGCCCTAACTGGGGTGGAAGAATGGGTTAGAACGAAGACAATCACCTGGAGAAACTAGCAATTTTGCAAGTGTATAACTAGAGGAGGTATTGCTCATTTTTAATAACGAAGTATTGCATAAGAAACAGATTATAACATTACGGCGTTCGAAGGTTGTTAACTATAGGTAGTTCTCTAAATAAATGATGTATAAGAGAGAAATCATGCTATGGTAGACTGTTGGCCCAAGCTCCCTTAAGCTATATGTAGGTACCTAGGTACTTATGTACCTCCGTGTGTAACCAACAGAAGCTCCGACAGCGCGGACGTAATCGTAATCGCAATCGCAACGTCATCTCGAATTTTTGCTAAAAACCTTTAAGGTTGTCACATTCTTGTTTCTCTATAAACGTCAAATAAGACAAGTAATACAACATACAAAATGGGAGCAAAGGCATCAAAACCCGCCCAATCGGCCACGCGCAAATTCCCCACGAGAGCACCCGGCAGTGCCGCTCCTCCACCACACGCCCGCCCGCGGCCCGCAGCGCAACGGACCCCCGAGCCGCGAGCGTCGTTTACAAAGGACGACGGTAAGCATTTACTTACTTACTTACTTACACCATGACACCCCAGCGCGTTTATACTGCACTGCCCTTCGAGCTAGCTAATTTTCCGCCCGCGCTTAGCAATCAAAGCAGATAGCATAGACCCAGACCCGAACCCATTTACAAACGCAGCCTTCTCGCAACGGTTGAAGCAGATGGGCGTCGCGACGCCCAACCCGACGCTTTCTAACTCATCCACAGCGTCGCCCTACCCCGGCTCACCGGACCAAGGGCCGCGGAGCCATATATTCCCCTCGCCGGCGCAGAACCCGACGCTAAGCGCCCTCGAGGCACGGCAACGGCTGGAGGAGCGTGCGACGCTTGAGTTTGAGAATGTTCGCCAGGGACGGGAATTTTTAGACGTGGGCACGTTAAAGCAGGCGCTGGTGCTACAGGCGCGAGGAACACCGGCTGCCGATATCGAGAGGAGGCTGCGGCTTAAGAGCGGTGTTGTGAATAGATTAGGGCCTAGGGGGGTTACTTTGCCCTTGACTTAAGGGAGGAAATACGGAAAAAAACAAATAAATCAAGTTTGTTGCAATGGCGGATTTACTAGGGCCTATAGGTGGATCGTTGTTTGGTGTATATTATGCATTCGAGGTATGTAAAAGCGCCGTCTATCGCATCGCCTTGTACATTCGATAATACACCCCCCATGCCAAGTCGTTATCATCAAGCACCTCCAGCGCAGAGATCGTCGTCCCTAGCAAACAGCCATCGCATCTTGCCAGTCTAGCTATAGACGCAGTATCTATCCCACCAGCCAGTCTGCTCCTCCTTTCGTACCCATGCTCTCTACCAAGCAGCGTGCCCACCGTCAATACGCAGATCCGCGCCAGTCATAAAGCGGCTGGCGTCGCTGAGCAGGAAGACAGCCGCGCCGCGGTAGTCCTCGGGTTTGCTGAGCTTGTTCAGCATGTTCTGCTTGGGCCACTCGATGGCGCGGTCGGGGAACTTCTCAAACAGCTTCTGCACCATCTCCGTCACGATGTAGCCCGGCGAGATGGTGTTCACGCGGATGTTCTTGACGCCCCATTCCATCGCTAGGTTGCGGCCTAGCTGGATTACGGCGGCTTTGGAGGCGTTGTATACGCTGGGAGGTGGCTTAGCTCGTTGATGATCACTTATACGTGTCTGGGGGGGAGGGACTTACGGGCAGATCAGGCCGCGGTTTGCTACGGTGCCGCTCATGCTGGCAATTAACACTATGCTTCCGGGCGTGTCGTTCTGGTACATGTGTTTCGCCACGGCTTGCGCTGTCATGAGTGCGCCTGTGACGTTGACTCCTAACATGCGGTTCGAGTCCTCAGCAGTATAATCCAAGGCCGGAGTTTCCTGCTGGATACCAGCAGCCGCGATCAACCCGTCGACGTGTCCCTCCTTAGCGACGATATCTGCGGTGATCTTGTGAAGTTTGTCGGGTTCCTCCAGGACGTCGACTTGGTGGTAGCTTAGCGAGGCGCCCAGTTCCTCCTTGGCTCGGCGCGCTACTTTTTCAAAAGATGAGCCGGCGCCAGGTTGGGGTTGTCTGTCGAAGACGTGTACTATTGTTCATCATAGTCAGTATCTCTCTTAGAGAATTTGTCTCGTTCTAAATACCTCTCGCGCCTGCTTCTAGGAGAGCTTCTGTCTGTACTAGGCCCAGCCCTTGTGCTCCGCCAGAGACGACAATGACCTTGTCTTTTAAGCTGAACTCAGGCAATATTCCTGGGGGGCTGCTCTGAGTTAGGTCCACCTTGGTAGCATTGGCCGTAGTGTTGTGAAAAGACCGCCGTGCTGGTTCCTGGCGAGCAGGTAACCTACAGGCTGCTATTCCTGTTGCTCTGGCTGTGATTCCGCATGGGGGTGTTACACGCGGCGTGGCGCGGGCGAGTCTTCCCACTGAAGGGGCAGCTCGAGATATTCTTGGTGCAAGGTTCGACATTGTGAGTTGGTCTAGTTTATGGAGGATTCTTGGTGTAGAAGACCTGAGACGCCTGTGAATATATATGTTCTGGGTGACCCAATTCAAATAAGACTTCTGTCTTAATTATGCGGGCCAACGTGTGCCTTGTTTGAGAAAGATAACGATCTGCTGGGCTAGGAGGCGTGGGGTGGGCAACGACACGGGTGTCCGGGAGCACGAATAAGGAGGGTCCGGTCCACGATAGCACAATAGTATGGCATAGGCAATGTGTCGGTTCCATATTGACGAAGGGCAAGCTCGCAATGGGCGTCATATATAGCGAAGCTTTAGTCCCCTGCTCTGGGAGCTATCGTGAGCCAAGAGTGCCAGTTCCGCCAAGGTGTTTACAATACCCAAGTCTAGAACCCCATCTCTCTTTTCTTCTAGGAACAAAGCTGCAGGAATAGCTCTTAGAACTAACGGTGAGGCAAATTAGAGAATAACAGGTGATGAGGGGGCTCCGCTCCCCCCTTGGGATAGAACGAGGGGCCGAGAGTTTGGGGCCTTGGGACCTTGGACGAGGGTTTGACAGCTCTAGAGCTAAGTATAGTCTTCTCCACAGACGCAGTAACATATTGTACCATCATAGAATCGGCCTTAACCAGGCTGGCTGGGGTGAGGAGACCGGTGAAGGTTCGGAAATCCGATGTGACCAAAGACCGACGAGTATCTTACTACGTACGAATATGGGTTCTCGGTGACAATTCAAGGCTGTTTAACATTGGTTAATAGACACATGATGGTATCGTACCCCACGTGCCTCGCTGGTGAACAAAGAGCTTTGCTGATGAATCACCGGATGGATCTCCTAGAAGCTATGGTTTACATAGATGCTTCGGATTACCTATTCAGGCAATCCTACGACCAGGAGCCAACGGGTCAACAAGGTGGAGCTTAATACGATCCGCTAGCAACGTCGGCTACCTTATGTATTCTACATAGTATAATCTATCATCACACACAAGGTTAACCGTACCTCGTCAAAAAACTTAATGATCACGCTTGAGACTAAGGGGACTAACTAGCAGGTGGGAAGGTTAGGCTGGAGCTCGTTCTGTTTTACTACTAACCAGTCGAATCAATAAGATAGTCAGGGGTATAACATTTTTGTCGATATAAACCGACGCCACATGATCGCATCTACATATTCGCCTACATATTCGGCTCGCTTCCCATGCATCGCTGCCTCATTATGAACACAGTTTAACCTAGTACGTACATGTGTATGCATACTACCTATATGATGTATGTATGTGATGTGTATATCGGTATACAAGCTGCCAGTCTCCCCCGCATTTCCATGTTTTTTAATATTTCTTTTTTCCCCGCGAACCCTGCAGATAGGGAGGATTCTTGGGTTCGTCATGGGGTTGGTTCATTCCGCCCGTCGTCCAATAGTGTAACTCACAGAGAGTATTCCCAACTATTAGTGTTGGTTCTGGCGCAGGTTCCGCAGCATTAGCGTTCTTCCAAGACTATACGACCGTCGACGGCACTGTTTACAAAGGTCTTGTCTCTTGTAAGATCTGTATATATACGGATTAAACAGATATCCTCTAGCCTTTGTTCTGCTATTATTCTCTTCTGCGATTGGGTAAGTCTGAGTCTGACAAGGCCCGTCTATCTACCTAAAGGGTTATATACCACAACCCTGCCTCCCCGTTGTTGACATGTCAACTGGAACAATTTGATAAGATTACCGGCCCGCTGCCGTCGAGGGAATGCGACAGATCAATCCGGCATTTAGCGTAGCCATCGGAACATGTCAATATACTCACCAATCGTCTCGCCATCCCAGTGAAGCCCCCTTGCTCCGATGCACGTCCAGCCTGGCAGAAAAGACCCCTACTGCAGGATATTATTGATGAACGATCCAGGATTTCTTTAATCGGGAAGCCGCTCATATTAGCAGACTTTAGATCACGCGTTCCCCCTCCAGATGCAGATATCTTGCCACCGAGGACAGATAAAATAGGCCATCTAGCGACAGTAACATTAAGGGTCTTGTCTCTGCCTAGCCCGTCTATCCCTCAGCCCTATGTGTCTACCTATGAGGTAACCCATTATAAATAACAGCGGTTAGTGCGGGTGAGGGAATAATTGATGCTAGTTACAAATAGCCAAGTGGTGATGCTTCTTTTTCCCCGGTCAAAAAACGGTACTACCATCGCTCCTGTGCGCCTAAACCGTGCAATAACTGGCTATGGTTCATTATTATCTGGAGTACAGAAGCGTCCGCGAAGAAGAAAGAGTGAGAAATAGTTGCTGTTAATGAACGAACTGCCGGGTTGAAAGCACATCAAAACGATTCAAACCCTACCTATTGCCGTCTCGGACCTCTCTCGCAAAGAGTAACTCTCGCGAAGCTGCCCGGTTCTCTCTATTCTCTGGAGGACTCGATGTTTGGGGTTAAAATGGTTGATGCCCAATATGAGGAAATCAAGATATCCAATCCCAAGGTTAAGAGATAGTCAGCGCTCTCATTGAGTCGGCCTATCTCGGATATGTTGAAGACGAACCTCTGGAAATAACAGTTCGCTGCAACATCTTTATTAGGGATTAAACTGAAACCGTCCTCGAAGGTGATACCGAATTGTTTGCCTCTCCGGAAACATTGCGGGTGTAACCTTCACGTATCTGCCTCCCATTTCTATTAGTTTTCCAACTCGTCACCTCGACATCATACTGCAGGAAGAAACACAACAGAACATAGATGTAATTTCCCTGTTTATATGCTAGTGTGAATAAACCCGATTATTTAAGCATGATCGGTTTGTAAGTATAGGTAGCTTATTGATAACCGACCGGAATACTCTCAGAGTCACTTGAAGAAATCAGTAACATCGCATTCGCTTAAGACTTCGATAACAATGTTGGACTAAAACCCATAACTACAATCTGTAGCACGTAAAACCACTGACCTCAACCTGCATGCGAAGGCGTTCATTCGGGTTGTGAGAGTTTACCAAATCAAACGCCGTCTCAACCCGCAATTGACGTTATGTATCAGGGTCCTCCCAGCTGAATGCCCGAGACCCAATAGCCATCACCACGGATGCCGTCGTCCAATGAAACGATATCCTAGAAGCCGCAAGCGACGGGGATATCGGCATGACAGCTAAGCTCTAGGTAAATCAACTTCGCTGCTCCGGCCAAAACCTGCTTTCGATGACGTATACGGCAAGATACGCAGTCACATCTAGATAAGATGTGCCGTAACGTTGCCTAGCCACGATCAAGGCATGTGGGAAGTGCTTGCTGTTCTAGAGCGCAAAATACTGCATGTTAGAAATGAGATATATTACCCTTGCGACTCATGCATACTATAGCAGAGTAAATATTGCAAACACGGCAACCCTTTAGGTACCTATTGTAGATGCGGAAACACGTTTGGGATAGTATCTTGCCACCTGCAATGTGGCTAGCAAGGTCACAAAAGGGGAGGACACACACACACCTTAGGTAGTATTCATCTGGCACGTGAGGACTTTTCTTAAGTGCCATATTATACATACACAGGCGATTATATCGTAGTTTCCATTACCATGCGTGATTCTATACTAGGAATTTCTCAGACTATTCCGAGATCATCCGGCCAATAGTTGAATTACACATGGCCTATGTATATAACATATAACCAACTTGACTTCAATACGCGGCAATTGGAGATGAGAAATTTATAAAACTTGTCAAATGGAGATTTGGGGGAGCGAGGTTCTTGAGGCGAAATTAGCTAACACGATGAATCCTGTTTCTTTTGGGCTACTTCGTTGACTAGGTTAGGTACCTACTTATAATTCTCCCCTCTATTTAAAGAATATGCATGCACAAACGACATTTTAACATCAGGTTAGGTACTTAAGGTATCATGTCTTCTAGTAGCACGAGAAGGCAACATGGAGGTGCCGCTAGTTAGCTGAGGGTAACTTAGAAAACACTAAGGGTACTCGAGGAAACAGAATTGTCTTTTCTTATTATAATTGAAAGTTCAAGAATATTACTAAGGTATGCTTAACTGAAGCTAGTTTTTTGTATAACTATCTAAGACTTGGTTGAGTTAATAATTATACCTAAGATATTTCTTTTTGATCAGTAAGTTGTAGTAGTCGTAGCAGTTAACTAGTTAATATTTAACTTAGTTACAATGAATTTTTTCAACTATGTACTCTTACCAACCCGCCTAAAGTTAGGTACCTCATATAATACATCAACAATGTACAATTACCTAAGTTAAGTCATATATAATGTCTTCCGCTCGATTTATATAATGCTCTTATGTTATACCTGTAAGTTTTCTTTATTGCATAAAGTCTACTATATACATATGTGTTCAACATGAGCACTTCCAGAAAGAATAATAGTTCTTTGCGCCAAATTCGCACTATGAAGCCCACATAAATTAGCCCAGCTGACACAGTTCGTAATACCATCTTCGCACATATCTCAACTGCGCCACAGCCAGGGGCAAATAGGGATCTCCATTTCCTTTTTCAGCGGGTTTTAGTTTTTAGCAGGGCTCCGTTTGTGGTTACCATTCATTCATATGTCGAATTTGTTCAATTCACTCCTTAGGTACTAACCGTAGAAACAATTATATGCCGTATCTCCGTTGAATGGCTTTGTTACGACTGGCTTTTATGCAGTCCTGATGGCACGTGATGGGGGTTCGAGGCTGACGTCTGTCTGGTAAGTTGTGATGAGCATTTGAACTGAACCTTGGGTTATCATAAGAGGTAGTGGCTAACTTGGCGTGTGTGTATGTAGCTTTCTCGCTTCATATATCTGGTTATCATGTTCATTACAGAGACATTCGTTAATAGGTACGCTCATATATAAACTCTTACATAAATAACTATTATATTCAAAGACTCACATCGGATAGATCAACCACGACTGTCCTCATTTTTACTCTTATTCATCTCAGGCACGGTAGCTTTCATAGCTAGCCTGTTTTCAAAATGGCTTCCCGGCGCAGATGGGAGATTTGGTAAGTTCATATTATCGTTCTGCAAAAAGCAGTTTCTGACATTGCGTTATAGATTCGGAGGCGGTTCTGAAGGGAATGCAGTCATCCATGCCACACCGCCCTCGCCGTTTTTATGTTCCTTGTATAATACTTCTTATTGTCTTCCGATTGGAGATCGCACACCAAGCCCTAACTTATTTCCAATGTGCTTCTGAAGGCGTAGAGGTAAAACACATATCTCTCTACAACTACTAAAGCAACGCCTATGTCTAACGTATCTTAGGCTTTTCTCCCTATACTCCTAGCTGCCTATGAGTTCTTTTTACACCGTGCGCCTACGATTGTGTCTGATGAGCCTGAAGATATGTGGGGTAACCCGTTAGACGACTTCAAGAATTGGCTCATAAGCTCTCCGATCAATGTCCTCGTTAGTACTATCGTGTTTAGTTATGGAGTTTTTATGACAAGCGATTTTACTTCAAGGTCTACATACTTTTGTACGACCTATGGAAAGGGAGGTACCCTCGTCCCATTCTTGCAGTGGGTGGGCGTTTTCACCGATGCGGTCATTATAGTTATGGCATGGAGGGTGCTTTCATGGGCGCGGACTACAAAGGGTCGTCTCCAAACGCTTGGTGGGATCCTGCTCATGGCATCTGCTGGTGTCTTGCTTCTATGTCTAGAGACGCGGATATCTCAGCATCGCGAAATCATTAACCACCATCCTTTCAGGGGGATCGGCTCCCTCTACTTTTTCGATGTTTTTAGCACAGGACTGCTTGTCTCCACATTCGTTATATCAATGGCACTCTGGGCTTGCGATTCTACTATATTAGAACCTACGGCCGTCGCGACTTTCACTTCTGGTATATTGGCCAGCGTTCAGAATGTCTCGTTGATCGGGACATACCAGCAGACCTCATCTAGTCAACCGGTGATAGTGCTATCTATTATCTCTGTTGGTTTTGTCGTCTTTACATATGCAAATAGCATGAGATGGATTGTCGTCTTCAAGCGAGTAATACTCCTGTGTCTGCTTGCCTGTATTATATTCACTTCAACGATTTATGCTATATTCAAAAATGGGCAATTGGATCGCCATCCTGTTGACGAGCTTGTTTATAGGAGAAGAGTAGAAGCAGATCGCTGGCTCCGACATGCAACTGTCAGTACTACACTGAAACTTGCTGTTACAGAATACAAAGATCGTCATCAGGGACGCGACCCACCACCAAACTTTGACAAGTGGTTTGAGTACGCACGGCAGCGGAAATCGGTTATCATCGACAAATTTGATCAGATCGAGAAAGATCTCCAGCCCTTTTGGGGTATGAAGCCACAAAAGATCCAGGAGGGCTTGGAAAAGTTGTATGGGTTACCGGATATTGCGATTATTAAAATTGCCGATGGCCAAGTATCCTACAAACTGCCCCCACTGTCGCCTCACAAGGCGGTGGTAGAATATGCGGCATCGATGATTTCAACATTTGTTGAACACCTCCCTCCTATGTCTATTGCTATTAATCTAAACGAGCGACCAAGAATCCTGGTTCCTTGGGATGATGTCCATAGATTAACTATGGCGGGAAGTAGGGAGCGGTTTCAGCTTCTTCATCGTATACATAAACGTGAGGGAAAGGAGCCAAATTTGGCAAGGGATGGTCGTATCGATACGGCCAAGGTTGTTCTCGAGCCGGATACCCAAACATACGTATCTCCAACGAAGTTTCGACAACTCGAAGCCTTGGCCTGCCCGCCTGGTTCTGCCGCACGCGGAGGAGTACACTGGGACGTGAGAGATTTCTGTCCTTCGTGTGTGAAACCTCACTCCCAGGGCCAATTCTTGGAAGACTGGGAGATGTTTCTCGACCCGTGTCATCAGCCGGACATATTCAACCTCCACGACTTTCACACGACGCCTCATCTCTATGACTTGCAGCAAGACCTTTTGCCAGTCTTTAGTAGATCAAAGACGGATAGTTTCAACGATATTCTGTTCCCGCTTATAAGCCCTTACTTACGGGGTCCAGACGATGTAGCGTTTGAAAAGAAGAAGGATATCGTCTTCTGGCAAGGGGACGCCAGCGATTCGCGAGTCATAACGCACTCTTCGCTTTTCGGCGGACACCGGCATCGATTAGTCCATCTTGCAAATAACGCCAGTGCTGATGATGTGATATCTGTACTTCTCGGCGACAAAGTCGATGGGAAGGACAAATTTAAATACGAAAAGACGTTACTAGAAGAGGCAAATGGTCCTCTACCTTTTCAGTTCTCTTTTACAGATGACGGGACTTGTACGGATGCAAAACATTGCCAGCTTCTGCGAGCTGAATTTGGCTTCAAGGAGCCGGTTAAGGCATTTGATAACCGATATATCATGGTACTTGACAACGCGGACGGGCCATCTGATCATCTACTTTGGATTCTTCGGTCCAATAGCGTACCAGTGTTGTCAACTATCTTCCGCGAGTGGTATACAGAGCGGTTACTGCCGTGGGTACATTTCGTGCCTGTTGATCTACGCTACCACGGTCTACATAGCACATTGGCATATTTCATCGGTCTTAAGAATCGAGGGCCGATTAATGGGAAATCTCGGCTTACCCAGGGCCGGTTGGAAGACGCGCGCTGGATCGCGGAGGAGGGGCGTAAGTGGACTGATAAAGCTATTAGGAGGGAGGATATGGAAGTGTATATGTTCCGGTTGTTATTGGAGTGGGGACGAATTATTAACGAGGATAGGGACAATATGGGTTTTGTATTATAAGAATATATAGAGTAATACGTATAATGTCATTAAATAATAATCCGTGATTTGCATAAAGCTTAACTTGAAATATTGCATGGCGTGACGTAATCATATCAGCCCTCGAAATACTTAGGCTATGTACCCGATAGGCAGCTCTTCGACTTTGTTCACCCCACCTGAATCATCTAAACTCATCTAAACCAATCCCCAATCTCCAATCCCACATCATCAACCTTCAGCACCTCTACATTCAACCATAACGGCGTTAATCCTCTCGGAGTAATAGCGCATTTTACTATAGCTCATTCCGATAATATTTTGAAATTAGGAACCATTCACAAATCGTTTATACCAATAGAATCTTTACTATTCAATCTGTGCGCTAGGCTGTGGTGAAGACCGGACTGAGACCCCATTGACGATGGCGGTTATCGACGAAGACACATTTTCCAATATTCCATGGAACAGCAGTAACAATGAGAGCGGAATGCTTGGTTCCAGCTCGTCTACACCTACTATAGAAGCAGAACCCCCCAGCGCTCAAGCCCAACATCATGGTGCCGACCTGGAGCGCCTGGATCCCGGCTTGTCCGGCGACATTCTTGAGTGTATCGTATCCGAGCCTCGTAAGGAGCAAGACGGTACTAAAGATGCATTCGTATCATATTTAATTACTACTCATGTAAGGCTATATTTGGGCTGCTGTACCGTGGTATCATATCTATATACTAAACCACCGACATAGTCAACATTCCCCTCCTTTCAAAAATCAACATTCACCTCCCGCCGTCGCTTTACCGATTTCGTCTTCCTCTACAAGACCCTATCTAAAGACTACCCAGCATGCGCGGTACCACCGCTGCCAGATAAGCAACGCATGGAGTACGTGCGAGGCGATCGCTTCGGCTCAGACTTCACCAACCGACGAGGCTTCTCCCTACAACGTTTCCTCGCGCGCATTACCCTGCACCCCATTCTCCGCCGAGCGCCTATCTTCCATACCTTCCTCGAGTCCCCCGACTGGAATGCGACTATGAAGTCCCGTGCCTCTAGGACTAGCACGACTTCCGACCAGGGGAGCGGCGGCGTTTTTGACAACTTTGCCGACACCTTCATCAACGCCTTTACCAAGGTTCACAAGCACGACAAGCGGTTCGTCGAAGTTCGCGAGAAGAGCGACAAGCTGGATGAAGATTTAGGGCACGTGGAAAAGGTCGTGGCGCGGGTCGCCCGACGGGAAGTAGACCTCGAGACGGATCTGCGGGATCTTACAGAGCAATTCCAAAAGCTGATCACTCTAGAACCGGGGGTCGAGAGTGCGGTACACGGATTTGCAGCTAGTGTGGAGGACACGGCGACAGGGCTGAAAAAGCTGCGCGAGCACACGGACCAGGACTATCTAGGCAGTCTGCGAGACATGCAAGCGTACAGCCTCGCGCTGAAGAACCTGCTCAAGGCGCGCGAGCAGAAACAACTCGACCACGAGCAACTCACCGAGTACCTAAATAAATCAACAGCGGACCGCGATTCGTTAGCTTCGGGGTATGGGTACGGGAGCGCGGGAGCGCTAGGCGGCGCCGGGGGCTTCATCCGGTCTAAGATCGAGGACGTGCGGGGTGTAGACCACGAGGCTAGCCGGCGCGAACGCCTGCGCAAGCTTGAGATGCGTATCGACGAACTGACAACGGAAGCCGAGCGCGCGAAGAAGACAAGTCAAGCTTTTGACGAGGAGGTTGTGAAAGAGGTTGTTGATTTCGAGCGCATCAAGCGCGTCGAGCTGAAACGTCAGCTAGGTGGCCTGGCGGATTCGCATGTCGAGTTTTATGGTAGCGTGGTGGATGTCTGGGAGCAGTATGTGCGGGATATGGAGAAGGAGGGGTTGAGCTCGTCGGCGTATACGGGGTGATTTTGGGACGGGGCGAGAGCGGACTGACGGTATAAGGGAAACGGAGGGGAGAGGGAAAGCGCGTAAGAAAAGAGTTAAGGAGGAAAGGCATAGTGTAAGGGAGGGGGGATATGGGCGTTAGGTCGAGTCGAAAGTAGCGTTCTTACATATATGCATGCATACTTGCCTTTCCTCAAGGTTAGGTTAGGTCAGGTTAGGTCAGGTCAGGACAAGGCAGTTGCTGAAAGCCAGGAAGACAGATATATGCCATAGGCTTTAACTTACTTACCCCTTTGAAAGGGCTTAAGGGTCGGACTAGAAGACTGTTGAAAGGTGGCATATGTTAGGTTAGGAGGTACCTACCCAGGTACGTATGTGACTTGGAAGTTGAAGTGGAAGTGGTTATGGAATATTCATACTAGGGACATATAATCAGGCAAGTTACGGCGTTTCTGGGAATTCGAGTTCGTTTCTTTTAGAAAGGGATGAGAAGAGAAGAAGGGTTTTACTTCTTCTTCTACTTCTGCTGCTGCTGCTGAGCATTCATCTATCTACCTGTTCCCTATTCATTTACATACCTAATTACAATGATGCCCTTCGAAAAAAAACTTCAACTTTTTTTTTCTTCGCTTGCTATGGAATTTTTGAGATGTCGAGACAGCTACCTACATTGTGTTAGGTTAAGGCACCTCCTAGCTGTGGGTTATTCGTTGGAGCAGGTCGGCAGGATGTAACCAATAATAAACAAATAAGCTTTAGGTTTTCTGCATTTTGAAAATTCTGCTAGTTATACTTTTTTTCTAATGTCGACTTTTAGTATAACTCTCATGCCAACTACAATCAAACATGAATGAAATTTTTTTTTTTAAATGCATATTAAAATACAGGTTAGCCAAAATGCAAAAAAAGTAAATTGTTGCGACGTGGGCCTGATTCGAACAGACGCTCCCGAAGGAACAAGATTTCTAGTCTTGCGCATTAGACCACTCTGCCACCACGCCTTGGATGGTTAGTCGAGCAAGTGGATAGCCTTATAAACTTGTCCCTTTACGATCCACCTACATGAATATGAATACTTAACAGGTGAGGAGTCACTTGGATATGTATGTGGTAAAATAGAAGCATTTGGATAAGGTATGTATGTATAACTATGTATATTTAATTCGCAATCCCCAAACGCCTTACGAACTATGCCATATGCCAATATTGATAGGTATGTATATACAGGGACAGCAGCGGTAGTAGCAGCAGCACTATGCTACTTATAACGATTCTAGTTTCGAAGAGGCATATCTTGCTTCGAGAAGACGGTTTTTACAAAAGCTCTTTGTTCCACTCGAGACTCTACCTCCCCTCGCTTAATAGCCTGGAGCTTTGCTTCCCCCTGTTGGCTCCTCTCCCTTCTTCCTCATCATCGCTGTCGTCATCGTCGCGACTAGTGATATCGAAATGATTCCTCTCCATTTCATTATCATCTTCGTCCTCGCTGCCACCCGCAAAGGCATCATACAGCTCACCAGCGCGGCGCTTCTGGTTACCCTTCTCGCCGGTTGCGCCTAAGTTATCACCACCGTCATCAGCATTGAGTGGCTCGAACTCGTAGTCGTCGCGAGGGTTGTTGAGGCGCTGCTTGCGGCGCATGAACCAGAACCACGCGCCGAGTCCACAGCAGAAGGCGACGATGAGACCAATAGAGCCGTAGATCCAAGCCTGAGTGCTAGAGGAGACGCCGAATGTAGGAAGGAACGAGGGTAACCAAGAATTTTCAGCAGTAGTCGTCTCTGCGGCTGCAGACTCGGTACCTGTCTCAGAAGCAATACTGTCGCCCGTAGTCTTACTAGGTTTAATAGGGCGTTCAGGGTGGTCTGTTGGAACGGGGGTCGATTCTGCTGTGTTGGTCGCATCTGGGTTTGGAGGGAGGCTGGTTGTAGCGGCGGGCAGAGTAGCGGTGCTTGTTACATCGTGGTTTGCGTCATCGTCTTCGCTTGGCATGGGCAATAACGTAGCCTTAGAGGCGTCGATACTCTCACCCCATAGTTTAAGATGCCAGTCGATAAATTTGCCAGAGTCGTCATTCACAACGCTATCGCGCACAATGAGTGTCCATTTCCCAACTCCAGATTCACCCCTAAAGTATTATTAGCCATGAAAACACCATATTAGAATTTAGTAAACTTACCAGTGAACCACACTCATGAAAGTCCAGTCGTCATAGCCTTCCTTGCTAACATCATGTTTACGTGTAGCAGAGATGTGACTAACCACGTTGTCTGGACTGATGAGATCGACACTTAAGTCACCTCGGCGGCTATGCTCGACGTTCATCGTCACAGTAACATGCTCAAGACGCTCCAGATTTGCTTCTTTGAGCATGTCCTTTGTGACTTCGAAAGTAACCGACAATCCATTGTCGCCTTGAGGAATATCCTTATTGACATGCAGCCACGGGGAATAAAACCAGGCCTGGGGTTTGACGTTTTTCCAAGACTTTGCCGTCTCTACGAGAGCGTAGCTGTCAACCTTGCCGTAACCGAAGGTATGACTGAAATTCTTGCCGATAGTGGTGGGTTGCCAATCTCCGGTGTCGAGGTCTACGGGCACCGCGCTCTGCATTGCAATATATTGCATATCTCTCCAGGATAAGTCAGGGCGTACTTCCAGAGCCAAAGCGAATATTCCAGCAGCCAGGGGCGCAGCAGCAGAGGTACCTCCATGTCCGTTATAGCATTGATTCTCTCCAACATCGGTCGTATGTATAGCATCACCACTGCCACTGCTGTAAGTAACAACGAGCTGAGCCGAGCATTTCTCCGAGTAGTAAGGATGCAATCCCTGTCTGTCGATGGCACCAACAGTGATGCTGTAAATGCTATTCGTATACCCGTCAAAGTTGCAGTTATCTTCGCTCTGAGCACCGTTGCCGCTAGCGAAAACATATATAGATCCCTTCTCAGCACGTCCTTTCTGCACACCGTTCAACATAGCCCTCTTGATAAGAATACCAGGAGCATCCATCGACTGTCCATCATCTGGCGGGCCCCATGAGCAAGAGTAGATATCATTATGTTGGAAATCGTAGTTCATTGCGAGGGCTTCGTCCGCATCCGTGATTAGTTTACTCAGAATGCGAATACCGGCAATCTTGGAATCGTATGCGACACCGACGCCGCAGACGTCGTTCTTTGCAGCACTAACCTCGCCAGCACATCGGGTACCATGCTTATCGTCGGAAAGGGTCGGACGAGGTTCTGGTCTCTGGTCGTTGAAGTCGTAACTACCGGCGGCGTAGTAGTTTGGCTTCAAATCATTGCTGTACATATCCAGTCCATCATCCACAATAGCTACAGTTGCATTCTTGCCTGTAACACCTGACAGCCAAACACCGGTTACATTCACGTCATGTCCAACTTGAACGGGGTTGAAAAGATGCCATTGCTCGTTGAATATCGGATCAGAAATCCCAAGTTTCCCCATCACGAATTTTTGCTTTTCTACTGCTTTTGCATCTGGTTTATCTTCTCGTTTTCCGGGATATAGATCAGCTGGCGGGGGTGGGATGACTCGCTTCTGCATGGGGGCCCGTAGCTTCTGCTTGTGGGAGGATTTTACCCCATCTAGGATATCCGCATTGCCTAGCGACCGCTTGCGCCGACGCTCTTGCAAAGTGCGCCTCACAATATCTTCGCCAGCTTTAGATGTAGAGAATATGTGGTGACCTGGGAGTTCGCCTAGCGGGCCCTCATGTCTCAGACCTAACCGAGACGCGATTAGATCGGGCTGAGCATAACGTTCAAGATGGAGGACGTAGTAGTCGTTAGAGTCGAAATCTCGGGGTTGCAAGACCGCGGTGCCTAATCCAGCCAGGCCACCGACAACCAAGCTAACCAGAGGAGCTAGCTTCATGGTGTAGGATCGAGTAGACGTCGGTCGAAACACCCCGCAGAGCTCAGAACGAGTCGGTAATTATCGATGTAACGAACTTCAAGGAACGGAAAGGCGGGTGAGACGGACACGAGATAGAGTAAAGTAGGTAATTCGATATCAAGTTGGAGGGTAAATAGGTAGTTAGGTGATCTTAAAGGTATTTCGAATATAACTAATCACTGCTAAACGACAGGGGAAAAAAAGAAATAGACGCAACAAAACACCTTTGCTCAAGGCAATGCACGAAACCCCTTTATGAGCCGTAAAGGAATTAACAAATTAGATGAAGAAGAGGCAATCTCTCCATCAATTGATGCAGATGAAAATCTGCTAAATAAATATTACAATACTACCGGCTTGTTTGCCTCATCAACCGGTAAAAGTATTGCAAAGAATGACTGTAGATAAATGAGAGAAGTGGAAGGTTTCACTGTCGTTGTTAACGCGAATGCGCACACGCACACGCAAGTTGGAGGGCTGTGGCGGCGTAATCTAATCGTTATTTTGCGCTAACAGGCCTAACTGCCTAATAGGCAACTCACAATGGGAAAGCCAGGTGTTCCTAAACGCTTCCAAGCCACGCGCCGTTCCCTTTCCGGGACTAGATTAGCGGATTGTGGAGATGGTATTAAGTTATAATTGGTTCTCTTAGGCTATCAAGACCCTTAAATAGGATCTTAGTTTATTGTAGTAAGCGGCTTGCCCGCCTCAAAGTATGTAATAACTGAAGCTGCAGAAGTCTCAAATTTGAATAACTTTTCTAGTGCGAATTCAAAAGGTTGATGACAAGATCATTATGTACCTTAGGTATACAAAGTTTAATATTTTCCAAAGGCTTATTTAAACTATATTATACTTCATTTTCTTATTTCTGAATTTAGTTGTGATGGCTTTGCAAACTGCGCACTCTCTACTTTGAATAGAGTGCTTCCCCTTCAGATATGACATCACCGCCAACCGAAGATCTACAGTGTGCGGCCGTCGACACCTAATTAAAGAAGAGAAAGCTCTGTAAGGATCCGATATGTGATCCGTTTGAAGCTGACGTTGGGGCAGCCTTCTCCAATGAATTTCCCTATATAGACGATACTTCAACTCGAAACTTGTTATGCCTCCCGAAAGCAAGAGAATAAATAATACTACTCTTTAACGAGAAAATAAGACATACGTCGTTCATGTATGTCTAAATGTCCAGGTTACGGAGCTATACAGATGTAAGTAAGTAACTATTGATAGATCGACCTCGTCGCAATTATCTCTTTTAGTTTCGATCAAACAAGATGAAGCTATCCCATCTATAATAAAGTATGGTCACGGCCAGCCACCGTTGTTTCGGCTTTCCGTCTTATCACATCGGGTTGGTGCACAAGACAGTTTCACGATAACCAGATTTAGCTCCCGAGGATCAACTCCGATTCCTTGGCAAAAAGAAAGAGAAAAAAAGGGAAGTTTCTTAATCACATATTGTCCAACTAACACGTCGAATCCACTTCATATATGTACCTAACATACAAGCCGCATAGCATACGATACTAAAAAAACTCCGCCGGCCGGTTGACCGCTTCTTTCCCGGGAAATCAGATCCATCATATTCATGATCGGGGAATATGCGACGCCTACATTATTTTTTTCTCCTTCGTAGGAGGTACCTAGCTTTTATTACTGATGAGATACGAGGTCAGATCTGTATCTTGCCGGGTTACATGGTTTGATTATCCCCCGTTCCGCACCAGTCGTAATCCAGGATTCAAACGAGAAAAATCGGGAGGCTTGTAAGTTGTAAGGCTTTAGAGATCCGAAGAGGAAAAAAAAAAGATCCCTGTGAAGCTTCTTTTTTCCTTGCGCCAACCTGAGAAGGCTGGAATAATTTTACCAGCCAACTTATTAATTTTCTCTTCTCAGCTCCCTTCAATATAGATGATCAATACACTTTCCATAATATTTCCTATGGTCCGCGATTGCGTCTCCATAATGTTACATATGTCTTGAATACTTGAATCTGTTATTCCCCATTCCCCATCTCTCCCCATCTCCCCCTGCATTAATTACTGGCTTCAACCACCCGAACCGCATGTGTCTGCATGGCATTGGTCTATCATGGGCACCCGCAGATGAGAGCTACTGTGTTAGTCTCGACACGCCCTCCCCCCCAGTTCAAGTTCAGCCTATCTTTACAGCCCAATCACCGCTGGGCCTAATAGCATAGCTACCCATAATGTCGACGCCTTATTGGGGCCAATTGCCCCCATCAAAAGCTCGCCGCATGTCTGTCGACTATGATCAGACTGATCGTCGACAGTCTTTGGATCAGTCCGCCGCTCCGTCTCAGTCCCAGACTTACTCACACTCTCGATCGCAGTCGCAGTCGCAGTCACAGTCACGGTCGAACCGGGCATCCGTGCAAACCAACCACACCGACGCTTATACAGAGTCTACACTTAGTCCTTTACAGTCACCTGCTACTTCCAACTTTCCGGGTAACGGGCTAGCTCCCCGTCCACCTTCTCTACCGTACGGGCAAAACCAATACCCCGTAGAGTCGCAGGGAAAACGGACAAGACGTGCCATTCGGGCGCAAGAAGATATCCCTTACGACGAGACTCCCGCATCACCTCCCCCTCCCCCCGCCGCTCCTGACGTCCCTAGAGCTCCGCCGGTCAGCTATAGGGACCCTTACAGAAACAGTAGCCCGGCTTTTACTCCGACGTACACATTCAACCCGGACGGTTCGCCTGGGCCGCCGCTTTCGGCTTACCGATTTGGTTCTCCTAGATACGGTTCCCCTCAAGCACGAATAGCGGCCATGGAGTCCGAGTCTTTCTACAAAGATGATACCCCAGAGGTTGAAAGGCTAAATCGAGCACCTATACTAGATCGAAGTCGACAAACTTTTGACGAAAGCGGGGATGCTGGCAAACAGGCATTTCGAGGCCTGGAGGGAACTAGATCTATAGGGAAGCTAGCAAATGGCGATACAACAGAGAAGGAAGCCATGGATCCCTCCGCACCAAAGAGACAAGGAACACTGAATGCGCCAGTAAAGCGCCCAACGTGGGCAGACGACCGGTCACCGTTGCAAAGGCTCGAGCTGACCCTCGATAGCATCACCAAGGAAGAGAAACGAGCCCGTGTAGAAGCTGCTGAGCATCGCGCAAGAGAACGAGCAGCGCGGAAAGAAAGTGTTTCAATTCAAGAGAGGCTTCAACTTCTACCGGAGCGTCAGACTAGTCAGCCGTCTCGGTCTAGAGATCGGCGTCAATCCGACGCCCGGCCAGAAGAACAGCGTGCAGTTGTTGCAGATCCAGTACCGGCGCAGCCATCAGTGGCCGCATCCCACGGGCCTTTGACTCGTAGCCCCCCAGAAGAAGCCAGACAGCCATCCGATCAATTTCCACGCTCACAAATTCCAGTTGCTAGGAATCGCAATATCACAACAGCTGAGAAGGCTGGTATACCCCAAGGTAACCTAAGTTTTCGTGAGAGAGCTGCTAAAAACGATATCAATCTACCAAGAGATGCAGAGAGTAGTTCACCAACGTCGCCTATTACTCCAGTGAGCGGAGGCTTTTCTCTCACTCGTAGCGGAAGCAACAAGCTTAAGAAGAACCCTCCCGGTGACCCCTGGTATAGCGCGCGTAAGGAGGCCGAGGAAAGATCAACAGCTCCGTACAGACGCAATTCGCAAAAAGAGCGATCAAATGAAGTGCCTAGAGATGTGAGCATCCCGCTAGGAACTGTCAAGCCTGGAAATGAGATAGGTACGAGGATGCCTATTTCGCCAGAGTATAATGAAAGGCCACCAGCAAGAGGTAAGCAGCTAAAACAAGAAGAATATAAAGAACCTCTAGTTCAACAGAAAGGACCTGCAGCCGCGGTTGCGCTTGGCCGATCTGAGTCCGTAAGGAATAATCCAAACACACTACCATCACAGCACCCTTATCAAACCCCAGTACGTAATATAGAAGACCCGCCGGCACCTGTTAGGAATGTTGTGAAATCTGTTACATTTCCGGATCGGAAACATGAGGCACAGATGTTCGAAGAGGACGATTACGATTCGGATATGAGCGATCATAAACTCGGTATCCATGACTACATGTATCGGAGTAAGCTCAAGCCTGGTCGAGGGATATATCAGCCACCGAAGTACTTAGAGGAATGGAAGAAGGCTACAGTTGGAACGCTGGCAGGTCCTTTACTAGACCTAAGTGAAGGGCCTAACCCTATTACTGAAAAGAGTATGCCATGGTGGGAGAGTCCTCCTAGCAGTAAGCGTAGAGCTAGTACAACGACGCGACCACTACCTGAGGCCCTCGAAGACCCTTATGATGATACCAAAGGTCCGACAAGGTTTAAACCAGCATTATATCTCAAATGCGGACCGCTGCTACGTTACTGTGGCCTTCGTTACGAAAAGCCACTAGCACAAGCAAACCGTAACGACGAGGTTTCTAACCTAGAGATATGGAGAGGTAGCGTCATGATCGTCACACAAGACTCGGAGTCGTCATATGACATCCCTCCGATCCTACGGCTCTTTGTCCAGCCTATTGAACTCCTCCCACCTCCTCCCGTAGAGCTACGTGGGGAACAGACTCTTCCACCAGAGTATGTGGACCCAATCGCCGGCATACCGAAGCTCGGTAGGCGGGGAGAAACACTATACGTACGGCCGGTGGAACACCTAGAAGAAGCTAAGGATGTTTCGAGATTGGAGCCAGATGATGGTCTATTCGAAATCACCAGGACTGCCCCAGACTTCAGCAACGGGCCTGATCCTCCGGGTTCTTTTACTAGTCGTAAAAGACGGACGCAGGTTGACGGAGAGAAGCTGGGGAAGTACAAGGATGTTCGTGGGTTCCGACTGCATGCGGAACGAGGCCACACGTTCTGGAGATTCAATATTGAAGTCGAACTCCGAGACTATCAACAGAGAATAGCGTACCGCATTAACCGTGGCCCTGCCATGAGCTTCTGGGTGCCCCCTCGGGGCGAGTCGATGAATATTATGTTCTACAGTTGCAATGGGTTTAGCTTGAGTGTGAACCCAGATGACTTCAGCGGGCCAGATCCCATGTGGCGTGATGTGCTCAATAATCATCAAACCAGACCGTTTCACGTCATGCTTGGAGGCGGAGATCAGCTTTACAATGATGCTATCATGCGAGAAAGCCCTCATTTTCATAACTGGCTAGATATTAAGAATCCTCTGCACAAAAACAACGCGCCGTTAATACCGGAGTTGCAAGATGAGATGGAAACGTTCTATCTAAATAGGTATATGATGTGGTTCTCTCAAGGGTTGTTCGGCTTGGCAAATTGCCAAATTCCCATGGTCAATATGTATGATGATCATGACATTATAGATGGCTTTGGTTCCTATCCCCACCACTTCATGAAGTCCCCAGTATTTAGCGGCTTGGGCAATGTTGCATTTAAATACTATATGCTCTTCCAGCACCAGAGCTTACCAGATGAAACCGAAACGACTGAACCGAGCTGGATTCTAGGTGTTAAACCAGGGCCTTACATCCGCGAGTTAAGCCGCAGTACGTTCATGTTCCTGGGATCTAAGATTGCGCTGCTCGCGGTTGATTGTCGGACTGAGCGTACAAGAGACGACGTCTTGCGGGAAAACACGTGGAAGAAGCTTATGGACCGTTGTTATGATGAGATTGTCAGGGGCAAGACGCAGCATCTGCTCGTTCTCCTGGGGGTTCCAATTGCCTATCCTCGGTTAGTATGGCTAGAGAACATGTAAGTTTCAACCCTGCGCAAATTCAATACAAGGGTGCTGACATCTTTAGCTTGACTTCACGATTGATGGATCCTATCAAAGCCCTTGGAAAAGCGGGCATGCTGGGCAATTTCCTCAACCGCTTCGACGGAGGCGTTGAAGTTCTCGACGATCTTGATGACCACTGGACAGCTAAGAACCATAAGGATGAGCGAAGAGTCGTTATCGAGGACCTCCAGGATCTCGCTGCGGACAAGTCTATTCGCGTGACGATTCTAAGCGGCGATGTGCATCTAGCCGCTATCGGCCAGTTCTACTCGAACCCTAAACAGGAGCTTGCTAAACACAACGACTTCCGCTATATGCCTAACATCGTCTCATCTGCCATTGCCAACACACCGCCTCCTGACATCATGGCCGACATACTCAATAAACGGAACAAGATTCATCATTTCGACAAGGAGACCGACGAGGACATGATTCCTATCTTTACCAATGGAGTAGACGGAAAGCCGCGTAACAACAAGCGTCTCCTCCCCCATCGTAACTGGTGCTCCATCCGTGAGTACGTGCCCGGGCAGACACCGCCACCCACACCACCACCAGAGGACTACGAAATGACCCCCGAGGGCACTCCACCAGGCAGTCGGGGCGGTCTGTTCCGTAGATTCTCATCGAAAAGGAAAGGTTCTGTTCTCCGCAAGGACGGACCTCGCGACCCCGCGGACCGTTCACGTCCGCCCGTCTCCGGCAGCGGCTTCCTACGCTCGCTCTCCCGCCGCGCTTCTACCAGCGGCGGATCGCGCCCAGGCGGACTCTTGCGCACCCTCTCGCTCGGCCGCGTCGACAACTCCCGCCCGCGTGGTAACGGCAGCGGCAGCATCTTTGGCCGTCGGAGGAACAGCTTTGACAGGCCCGATGACGGCGGCATCAATGGTGGCTGGGGCCCTGACAGCGAGGAGGACGACGAGGAGGCCATGTACGAAGCGTCACGGGCCCGGCGCGCTCGCGCTACGACTATGACTGCCGCACCGATTCGGCCGGCTGTATATGCTCCAGCTGCACCAGATTACTACGGGGAAGGGAGCTCCAGCGCGAACATGGGCCGGATGCGCGGCGGAGGCGTGGAGCGCAATGATGAGTACGAAGTCGGCGACGACTCGTACTTCACGGCCAAGTCGCCGCGCCGCGCGTTCACGCAGCCAACTAGGGGCGAGCACGGAGGCACAGGCGGGTTTAGTAATAACTACAGCACTTACGACGACAACCCCAGCTCGGAGTGGGACGCGCCGCCGCGGCCGCGGCCATTTCACCGCACGCCGACGGGGCTCACCGCGAAGCAACTGCAGGCAGCAGGGGGCGCGGCGAAATTCGAAGTCGACCTGCAAGGTGGACTGGACGTATGTCTCAACGTGGAGGTCAACGCGCGCGACCCGGCGGGCATCACGGTGCCGTATCGATTGCTGGTTCCGAGACTGTGGTACGAGTACGAGGGCGAGGACGCAGGCGTCGGTGCGGATACGGAGAGCCAGACCGAGCTTGATCAGGATCAGGGGTATGAGCAGGGACAGGGACAGTCGCGGACCTTGTACGATGATATGATTGGTGATGAGGAAGAGGAAGAAGAAGAGGAGAGGCCGCAGAAGGGTGTGTTGAAGCGCTTGTTTAGCGGACGGGGAAGTCAGTATAGGGCGAGGAGGGAGTCGTCTTAGGGAACGCTGAGAAGCTGGAATTTGCTTGTAGGGATCCTTGTTCTAAGGGCTGTTCTCATGTTTTCTTCAACCCCTTTTTTTTCGCATCGTAATACCTGGTCGGAGGGATGGGGAAAAGTTTCTATTTACACTTTGTCAGCAGCAGATACTTTCACGCAGGAAAGGGGTTTTGTGTTTTGTGCGTTTATTTTATATTTATTCTGCCGTCTGGATACCAGGTAGGTTAGGTGCGCACGCAAACACATGGAATTGGTTTGGTTTACTATGGAAAGGCGAAGGGATGGAAGAAAGGAAACTAGTTCATTGTTAATCGCAGGCAGTGTTGTTTGGCCTTGCTAGATTAGGGCTCGATTTGATTTCGCCCGAGGGATGGGTTTACGAGTTATGACGTTCAGAGAGATGGCAGCGCTACGAATTGCACGTATTTGGGCTAAGGGGGCTTGCAAATTGAAGTTGACGGTGGCTGGCTGGCTAGTTGGCTGGATTGCTTTATGTATCATACGTACCTAAGGTACGTTAGGTACTGTACTTGGATGCCGTGGCTGAAATACAAAGTTACCGTCTACCTGTCATGAATTACTAAAGAAGCTTTATTTATGCCTAGCGGTTGTGCCTTGTGCCTGGTGCCGGTGTTTCGTGTTGTTTCTGACTTTTCTCTTCGGGGTATATCACTATTTAGACTACTTGTCGACCAATTCAGATGAGTATAGGAGCCGGTCGGTACCTTGGAAGTATGACTCAACCTTGCTTCAACGCTTCAACTCCTATCATAACATCCCTACAACAACTAAATATAAAACTACCTGTGATGGGAGAACAGTAGGATTCGACGGTTTTAGTATCTTATTAACGTTTAGATCTTTCTACCATAGTCCCTAAGCAAAGTGCTCAATATATTACGAAGGTGTTACGAAGCCCAATTCACCCCTAAAACAGCATTGACATTCAAATATCCAAGCCACTCAGCTCAACAAGAAAATCTTCCTCAAATATATAGTTAAGTTAGCTGTAAGTGGTCTGACGTCTTTTTCTGTTTCAATATACCTAATATATTCCGTACATTTCGAGCCGGACTATTTCTAAGGGGCCAATTCATAACGAGATCAGACCCAACGAACCTTTTTTTTATCTTTATGTGAAACGGATAGTCTGCTATTGAATCGTTCAGGTTGGGATCCAAAGTCCAGTCTTACTAGTCCTACCGCTAAGGATATATAAGTTACATTTAGCAACCTACTCCTTCACATACGACCATAGGATCTGGAGAACTCGGGATCCCGTCCGCTCTCCCCTCGATAAACCGGATACCGCCGGACCAGTAGTTGGGTCGGTGACGACCAGCGAATCCCCGGTGTTGTATGTTTCTTTTTTTATGTTTTCTATGATTCTTTCTTTTTTATGATATGCTTCGTTGATACACCGGGGATGGATCTGACAAAAAAGGGAGGTGATGATGGAAAGCAACATCAAAAATAGAATCCCTCGGACCGGAATCGAACCGGTGACTTTTCGGTATACAATCTTCACAATTACAGCCGAACGCCATAACCAACTAGACTACCAAGGGTGACATTAAGAGCTTTGCCCTTTAGTATAGCTTATGTGTTGTGTTGTGTTGATTTCGAGCTCTAGTAGAGTTCTGAGGTTGAACCGTATTATCTTGAGGACGTGGGTCGAGATAGGGTATTCAAGTTGATGCCAAGGTGTAATAGTGGATCAGACCGAGCCACTGGGATGCGTAAGACAGCTCGATGAGGTACAATGGTAAACAATATCGGTGAAGGATAGAGGAGGAATGCGTATATACCCCGAGGGTGCACGCCGAGTAATACGTTGATGGTACCGTGTTATCTATTGTACGTGGTTAGTCTAAAATGTCAAAGCACATCGACCCGGTATACGCTTCTTCAATCTCGATATAAACTAGGTGGTTAAACACGTTAACCTTTGCATCTTCGTCTCATTGGAGAAGGACGTTTCATGGGTAATACCATCTTCGATCCCACTTGAGTAGAATTCTCGAAAAAGCGGTCGAAGCTACAATATGCGGAATGTAACATAAGTTGGTCGAACATTCGACACGTTCGATTCCAAAACTCAATAGAGCTTCTAGTATAGTAGGGGCATCCTATTTTGGCGACGCGCATGTCCCGTATGTGCTAGTCAGCCTTATTACGACTACTTGTAGCATCAAGTCCTATCAAAGCTACCTTCGCATACCTGCATCCGGGTCCATAAGGTCGCTTATTCTGAAAACATCTAGGACCACATTCGCTGCGGGGGCCCGATCGATAACCATCAATTGGTATTGTCGGTCCGTCCATAAAGCTCTCAGTACGTGTGAGTGCTACATTAAGAAAGTCGGGATCTTCGTTACACTGCGGACCGGAGCGTAGCTCATAGGGCCGGGGACGAAATCCGAGAACGAGAGGCGGAAGCACATGCTTGATCTTCAATTTCCACTTACATTTTCTGATGAATAACTGGTGTGTTTCACGAGCAAAGACGCCAGTGTGGAAACCCTAATATAACGACGAACCAGTTTAGAGGACCTCCCTAACTCAAGTGTTAGGCGCCAGCAACCCGTTTCGTTTGATTCACCTCGCATGCATGTAGGAAATACGTGTAAGGTCCAAAGAGCGGAGAGAACGGCAAAAGGTTGCTAATCCAGACTTATCCGATTAAGGGTCATTTTAAAGATGACTTGACTTGACTCGTGAAGTGGCCCCCATGTAGCTCTTGAGATTGGAGACCCACGTCAGGCGGGAAATAGCTAGGTAGCAGCAGCTACAAAAGCATGGCTGAAGGCTGCATAGCACTAGTATGGCAGCAATGTGGCGATTTAAGCAGCCCGGTAGGTCTACTCCGAGTATGCATCATCGAAACCAAAGATAATGATATGTGACTTGGGCTCGGCATGCTGCGATATGTATCACGCATACAAAACCTAGTCTAGCCGAAAGTAGTGGAAGTAGTGGAAGTAGTGGAGGGTCTCGGCATATGAGAGATCAGCCCTCATCTCAACATACCCGTCCATTCCGTTCCTGGGAACTGAAAGGGTATGACTGTACCCTCATGCACTTAGCAAGAGTCCTAATAAATCAGGATTGCCTATACCACTAGGGTTTGAGGACAAGATTCTCCACATGCTTTTTTTTTTAAGTCATGCCGCTGTTGCGTCTACGACGTTCAAGGACCGTGGGATCTAAAAACGGTTGAGCTGTAGCTGCGGACGAGATCTCAATAGGACCTTCTGGAAAGATTGTCAAAACGAAGCTCGTATTGAGCTTAATTGAACATAGACACGTACGGTTCACTTGTCTCTCAGATGGTTTTCTCACCATAACTTCGTTGATCGACGCCGGGGCAACTGTATACGATTTGGTTAAAGGTGGCTTCAACGGTGGTCGAAGTTTACCCTTGACCAGTTCTCGGTGCACGTGTCCGGGCTGATGCTCAGTCGACATTTTGACCTTTCCTACTCGGACACACAAAAAACACACGTCTTTTATTTTTGTACGTGATTCTAAGTTTAATGCGGTGGTAGTCCTATGTGGTAGGCTTAGAATTATATGATTTTTAATATGTAGTATACACGTAAGAAGTGGTTTGTATAGCGTTGAATGCGATGGTAGGATAATAATGATAGGATGATAGGATGATAATTGATAATAGGTGGAACCAAAGAGCGGCCGATTATACTTCGGTTAAATGTGCACGGACCGAGCATTTTCTCTCTTTGTTGCCTGGCAGCCTGGTACATAAGCGTCTTCTGATAGCGCTGGTGGCTTGTCTATTTTAGGTAAGAACTAAATGGGACATTTTGACCTACCATAACTCTTCTGGGTCGAGCCGAAGCTGTTTGTAGCTGTTTGTAGCTATTTGTAGCTATTTGTAGCTATCTCGATTGTGTGACAATTCGAATCAGTTGATCAATTGAAATATTCTTAACATTTAGAATAGAAAATATTACAGAAGAAAAGAGAGAGATCTTTTTTTTTTCTTTACTTGGAGTCAATTGGAAAATTGTAAAGACCTTGCGAAGCGAATATAATACTGAAATGGTGTTTCCTTGACTACCAGGGATTCTCATTTGAAGAAAACAAATTGGGGTAAGAGCACCTGATCACTTAGACCGGGATTACCTTCCTAGACAAGTATTCCGTTGGCCAAGATGGGTAAAGTGTGACCTTGTTACCCCTCATTTTTACTCGTCGATGGAAGGCGGCCAAGGGAAGTCTTATGCAAGTTGTATGCAGTTGACGGCTTGAGATGGATGGAGCTTTACACAATGAACAACTCATTCTTTCATTATAAGACCCATGATTTGTTGTTTAGGTACCTCCTCACTTTAGGTAATGTAGGTACCTGACCCTACGTGCATTCTTGCATTCTTGCATTCTTGCATTCCGATACTTATGACCTTTTGAGATTGATACCAATTAGTCCAATCTCTTTGGTCAATTGAAAACTATCAGCGTCTAATGAGATTTCAAGCTTACGATACGAAGGTAGTGGTTGATTCTTAAAACAGATTTGACAAAAGTCAAACTATATTCTTAATTTTTCTTTACCTAACTATTTTGCCCTTACCTGCTTTCACCTTACCCTTACTTGTTGTTCTTTCTATATTAGTATCTAAAGGTATCCAGTATCCAGTATTCAGTGTCCCTGTATCCACTTTCCAGCGTATTGCCCGCCACCCCGCGTTAGCGGCAAAAAAAAAACGAACAACTTTTTTTTTTTTCGTTGTCAAGTCAGAGGAGCCGCAAGTCGCCTCTCCCACTCAAATTTCTACTCATATCCCCTTATCGCTATTAGCCCAGACCCCTCCAATTACTCAATTCCGTGATCGGTCTCGGAACTTCGACGTAAAGCAAAGCTGAGCAAAACTCAGCCTCGGCCGGTGCAGCGGGCACGGAGCCATACGGAGCAAAGAAATTACCTCAAATTCACAGCTTGTCATATTCGTCGCGTTCAATTGGATTGATATAATTAGTCAATTGAAGAGTGCATGGATGGCCACACAGTTGTCGGCGCCGTTTCGGCGCCGTCGACGAGCCCTACAAGCCCTGTGAGCGTTCATCGCCATGGCTCTATGAAACGAAAGCGCAGCGAAGGGGGTCTCGGAATAGAAAGCAGTCCCGGTAGCGTTATCGGCGACGAAGATCAGTCTCTCGCCGAACCCGAAAAGAAGAGGCAACCCGGTGTGAAGCGGTATGTCCACGATCCATTCGCATATTATATAATATCTTAACCTCAACATGTATCAATGCTTATACATATATGCATATACATATACACACACACATATATATATACGTGATGACACGTAGCTAACAGTATCTGAATAGAGCGTGTAATGAATGTAGGCAGCAGAAATTGAGGTGCGATGTTGTCCAAGAACCATTTCAGAGCTGTTCGAGGTGTAATCGTCTAAAACTCGAGTGCAAGATCGAGTCTAATTTCAAACGAATTGGCAAGAGGTCGAAACATGCTGAGATGGAAAAAGAAATCGATCGGTTACGTCGCAAGATAGCCCAAGCCAAAGCTCAGGGCTTTGTAATTGACGATGACGAAGACCTGCAATCTCAATTGCAATCCCCCGTCGCAAATAGTGCGTATTCGCATACCCGAAATCCTTCGCTCATGGGATCCGATGAAGCTGTTACGTCCCTTCTGACTCTCAAGCGAGGAGGGTCGTATAGCCTAGCCGCAACCCATTATGCCTATGAGCTTGAGACAGTGCGGCTGACCGAGCAGGATGTCCACGGCTTGTTCCAGGAATTTTTCAGCTGTTACCATCCGTTTCTACCCTTTTTAAACGAGCATCAGTCCCCTGATTTATATTATCAGCAACATGCCTTACTCTTCTGGACCATCATCGCCATTGCCTCGCGTCGTTACCATGCTAAGCCCAACATATTGCACGAACTGTCAAGCGGCCCTCTGAATAGACTTCTCTGGGGTACCGTAGGCGACGTGCCGAATAGCTACTTCGTCGTTAAGGCCCTTTGCCTATTATGTACTTGGCCTCTACCGACAAGCACAACGACGGCAGATCCAACTCATATTTTATGTGGTGTGATGATGAAAGCTGCCACAGGTATTGGTCTACACCGACCTAACCATACCCAAGATTTCTCCCGCGTATCAGTAGAGCTTAACAAGGACCAGCTTCATGACCGAGTAACGACCTGGGCCGTATGCAACATTGTCGCTCAGTCTATTGGAACCGGCTATGGCCAGCCGGCTACTTCTCTCTACGACTGGACACTAGCAATCCGCCCTGGTGAGGATGGACCCTTCACGCTTTCTCCTGAGCTTGAGGCTAGGTTGAGAATAGAAAGGTTTTGTGATAAAGTCTCGAAGGAAATGTATAGTAATGCAAGCGATCCCAGGGGCGTGGCTGGCGACGAACACAGAGCTATGCTGATGCGAGTGTACCGCCGGGACTTCCAAGAATTACAGACGTCAATCCTTTCGCAGCGTTTATCGCAGATTGTGGAGGTACACTTAACTGCTGCCAATGTCCATCTTCGCCTCGCTGGATTCTTTGATTCCAGCAGTACTCCTGGTTATATGGACGATCTCATGGGCCTATGGCGAGCCATCACAAGCTTTCTAGATCTCCTGTTTCTAGACGCAAACCAGCATATATTAGTATATGCCACTAATTATATCCAACAGATGCTAGTTGCTGCCGGATTTGCTCTACTCAAGTTGATGAGATCGTTCTTTGCTAAAACGATAGACTTCGAAAGGGGAAGAACTCTATTTCATAAAACCATCAATTCCATCCGCAGGACGAGCGTGCTAGACAATGATCTGCAATGGCGGCTAGCAGAGCTTATGGTTCAGATGTGGAATGGCGCACGAATTGACAATAAGAACAACACCTCATTTCACGACGACGACAGCTCTGTTCTTATAGACGATACCTTGCAATTGAAGGTCCGTTGTAGGCATAGCATGAGTCTCGTATTTGACTCTATTTGGCGCTGGAGGGAAGAGTATCAAGCTCAGGGTCGTGGGACACTTGATGGTAAGGCTATTTCCTAATTTCTTTCCTCTCGATTAGTATACCTCGCTCGCATGGCTTGGGGGATTTACTAATATCGAGCAGCTCTTAAACATCCAACTAATCCAGACTCAGGTAATGAGTCTTCCGCGTCTTCCACACATATGGATAGCACATTATTGCCGCATAATAATCTGGCGAATCTGACGACGATGGCCACGAATAATGGCGGCATAACACCAACGGCAAGTCACGGCCTAAGCGCCGGTGCTAATAGTATGATTGGGCTAGGGTATGGAAGTGACGCAAACTATGACTTCTTTGATCCCCAGCATTGGATGCTAGACGGCTTGCTAGATTTTAACTACACCTTCGCTCAGCCTCTAGAAGGAATGTAGGAGGACCTTGGGGAGGATAATAACACTTGAGCAGAACCACCAGATGCTAATAACACTAGCGAACATATGTTCCCGGGATTCAACAGCACCAACCGGATGCTATAGGTCACTTTATGTATGAATTTAAGATCACGGGGAATGAGGGCGTGGTTGAATAATGCGTCCGGTATGTGACTCGCACGGGGGGCAGGCGCAAGAGAAAAATGTTCTTTTCATCTGCCACCTGGTGTGGGCTTTAATTACGTTGAATGCTGGAGTACTATCTCTAGCAGAAATTGATTGCGATTAGGGAGAGACGACTATAGAAGGGCGGTATATAACCCCTCTTCATTGTGCACAATATTGCGAAAGGGGGGGAACTGTATACCAGGAGCGTCGGGGTTTCAGCGTGGATTGCTTTATGTGATATAGTTCTATATATCATGGTCACAGGTCTGTGCATTGATCACGTAGTCAGCATTATTTGGAGCAAAATTTACGAAATTGAAATTGTCACAACTTCATCCAAATGTCATTTCCTTGATACGGGTATGAATTTATGGGAGCTTTGTATGCTATGACTTAGACCCTTTGAGGGATTCGAGCTCATGTATCGTGAGTAAGTCAGGGTTGGTTGCAGTTAATTCTAGGTGCGTGAAAAGAGGATTCTGTGATGCCCCTAATTACATAGTAAGTTGTTCGAATCTACAAGGAGGCTTTAGCTAAAAAATAGAGATATCCAACAAAATAGTCTGAGGTAGTTTACGAAGGAAGGTATCATCTAATCGAAATTACGGATTGGTAAGAATATTCGCTACCGAGGGATACCTGCGTTCCGAGCATTCATCGATGATGTCTAATGTTCTGGTGATTACTGAACAAGCTGGCTTATCGCCGAAGCAGGAAGATCAGCTACGTACGCTAGAAATAATAGCACCCAATCATTCAGTTTGGCAACTGACTAACAACTCCAAGACATCATCGTTCCTCGTCCCCCTTTTTTCCCGGGGTTAGCGGAACTTACCGCACCTTCGTTGCGGCGCGGTGTTTCGGCGCCGGCATAGCGACGCGACGTAACGGCGAGCACATGGCCTTTGCCCGAAACGGAAATTTTCTAAAGGGTGTCATTGATCCTCAGGTAAATGGACACATACACGCATACACGCATACACGCATACATGTTTCAGAGATGTGTGTGGGTGGTCTGGCCTGGACTACTTGTCCACACACACACACACACACACATACACACATACCACTGCCTCTCATGAGCATTGATCTTACTTACGTAGTATGTACATACGTACGAGGTAGGTCACGTAGTAGCCGGATCCTACACAGCCGTGGCGCCGAACGCATTCCTCTGGAGTGACTACCTAGTCGGCAACAACATGGAACTTTTCGAATCTTTTTATGGCCCTCCTCCCCCCTGAGGGGATCGACGGGGGAGGATTTCTCGTACATTAGTTGCATACATATATATAGGTATATATCTACCTAAGCTAAGCTAAGCTAAGCTATGCGCGCAAGTACCGGGTCTGGGATGGGATGGGATAGGATGGGATGATCTCGTCGCCAGTTGGCATGTATGTATTAAGCGCGGATGGTACACACGATACCTGTAAGCTGGGCTAGCTAGCTAGGTAGCTACCAACAACACCAGCACCGCACCCGCACCCAGTCATCGTGCTTCCCGTCTCCAGGTTTCCTAGGACTTCTGACGAGCATACACAGGCTGGTCTAATTTGATGTCCACGCCCTACGTATGTATGCATGCAATACGACGTTTCGCCATCTAACACTATCCCCCGATGGGACGTGGTAGTTTGTAGAAGGATTAGAGAAGATAGAAAGGAAGTTTTACAACTTAGGTGGTATGTATCATTGAGGCCATCCCAACGCCGTCGCTTCTTGGTTTACGTTTAGGGCCCCCAAAAACGTGGCCTAGACCCCCCCGAACGAAATGCTAACTTGGCGGCTAACAACAATTACATACATACCTACCGCGTGCCTCCCGCGAGCTATAGTGCATGTTAGGAGGCTAGGAGTAGAAGGGACCTGAAGATCTAGTCGTTTGCTCAGGGGTTACTTTTAATTTTAGGAGATCTGGATGCTTCGTACCTGCGTTTGCACCAACTGAGCTTTCCTGGTCTAGTTTCTTGTAAGGCTGTTTGTTACATACGGCAGAACAGCGGCGCGGTGCTCCTAGTGTTAGGCAACGTAGTTGAAGAGAACTTTTTTATCCTCTTGGCGGCGAGTTCACTATATACCTAAAGTACGCTAAAAAAGAGAGGCTATCACTTGGCACGTCGTCATTCGTGGTGTTTACGTTAGGCACCTACTTACCTCTCTCTCTCTCGGCTTTTGAAGAAGTATGCTTGTAGTTCGATAGGTATGTAGACGGGCTCTGACTACCTACCTGAGTCCATCCTTAGCTATGTAAGACGCGACGGAGATTAGAAGGTCCCCATGTCCTTTATTAAGGATGGCAAATACATATTTGGACGGCGGGACAAGGCATGGGTGTATTAGAGGCGTGATCCGTGCCTGTGAGAAATTGTCGGGGCAACCTTGGCGACCTCGTGGCAATCCTTGCCAATGCAACGGTTACAAGATGCCTGTTCCCGCCTAAGCGAAATGGGATGCTTCTCATCGTTCCTTTCCATACATACCTATATACAAATCGCTGTTCCGCTCGAGAGGGATGAAAGCTTATGCCATATGTACTATAGCATAGGTAACTACCTCTTAAACTGTGGTAGCAAAGTGTATGTTGTACATGTTCGTTGCGGTTAAGGATGAGGCTAAGAGTGTACATGTTCTGTACAAGGAGTCGCACGACAGCGGTTCTCGATCTCATCTGTTTCAAGAAGCGCCCATGGTAAGTGTTGACTGGGGGAAAGTGGTTAGCTGAGTCAGATTCATTGCTTTTCCCAGCAAAGACACCACATGTTTACACTAGTACGTTTATTCGCCGTTGTACATAGTTCTCCCTTGCGTCAAACTCCTCCTGCATAGTTGTACATAGTAAAGTCGCGTGTAGACACTCAGTGCGGCTCCTTTGATTATATTAGAGTCCTTAATCATTCGCATAGCCTAATGATGGGGTTGGAGATTTGATCATTGGAGTTTCTACCAAGCATTGCCACGTTTGGTAAACAAAGCTATGTATTCGATTCTTAATGAACAATTACGGGGGTGTAGATATATAATATGAAGGGATCCTACTTGATATTATGTTGTAGGTAGGTATGTACTACACATGTATCGTAGTTAAGTAGTTCCCAATTGTATGTAGATGGTTATCTAAGTCCATAGAAGTTCATGTCGATATGAGTACCCGATCTAAACAAGTACACGTGGTGAGCATTCCGAGGAGGCGGACACCTTTGCTGGAGCTAATTAGAACCTAAAAAGTTTCTATATCAGTCTCCACGGACGTAAGCGATGTTTAAAACTTCCCAAAGCGTATCGTACTACAGATGTAAGTGGATATCGGTGAAGATATAAGAAAAAAGTCGCGGTGAGCTTTTACGCGCACAGAGGCAAATCCGCAGTAGCCAGTGGCACGATAAATGATGATCGGGCAAATCTACCGGAAATCTACTTGGCATCGCTTACATAACTGGGAATCAAAGGCAAGAGTTTGCGAAGGCCCCATGCTTGGCTCTTTGCGTCGCCGGTTCGACCCCTAGTTCTGTCATTTTATGCACTAAGTAGTATGTAGTATCGAAACAGCTTCGGGGATACCTTCGATTCTTGAGCATACCAGATTATATTCGTGTCGGGCACGGTGGTTATCGGTAAAGGCCGTACACGTAGATATAAGAAGAGAAAAAGAATATGGCCCCCGAGATTACTGCTTCGGTGACGTATTAGACAGTTATCGAGGTCATGTTTATGTGAGACTTCTATGTATTGTACTACAGAAGCTTCCACTCGTGTCCAGGATGGATTCGATTATTACTAGGTAGAACATCATGCCTACCTCCCTCTTATGTAGGTACCTTAGGTAGATTACCTACTTGTTACTAATCTTCTATATTATGTAGATATACCCCCTTAGCCACCTAGAGAACCATACTTTTACGCAACGACCCCGTGTAGCTAAACCCTTTTAAGTCGAACTTGAACGGAGAACACCCGGCATTTAAATCGCATGATGCACGTACTACCTGCCCTAGCTATGGAGCACGCCGTCGCTGATCAACTATGTGCGGGATACACATAATAAAAAATTGCGGTCGGAACTGATGACTACCGAATACATAAGGAGGGGCCGCTGCGATGTTGCGGCGGTGCTATGTATGAGGTCGGCAGACAAGGCCAGATAGGTCAAGGCCAAGGCTGAATTTGCATCTTCCTCCCTATCCTCATTCTTCATTCGGAACTCGGACAATTCGGAGTACGCTTTGAGTCCATGTTCAGGTCTTGAATCGTGTACCTATCTACGTACACACAAAACGTGAGGTCGGATTCGAGCGGATGGCATGGGTATCCCATTCATATTATATGATTGGCCATTCTCCGCCAGCGAATCATCGGTAATTTTCGGCTCTCCGCCGGATACTTGCAGACAGAGATGCAAAATCCTAATCAAACTTCAACTCAAAGAGGGAAGACGCGTTGGAGGCTAATGTTGCATCATTGTACCTTTTCCCGCCAGAATACGTATTCTACCTAACATAGCCTATCCGCATATCCGCCTATCTGCCTCGCAGTTGTAGTCGAAACCTCTAGAGTACGCGCAATTTTCCATCTCGCTACGGACCCGAGCAACTGGGGATGGGATTCTTGTTTCTGTCTCTCCTTGACTTATTCCCATCCATTAAATGTTTCCCGATACACCCTTTCGCTTCTGTTAGCTGTTTTTGTGTATATCGTCTTGATTCTTAGTGGTGTGTATGAACAGGAATTTGGGGGCCTATAATTATGAAATCCGTCCGTAATCAAATTGGGCAGCACCCAAGGTTCTAAGCCCTAACGAGCAGCACCAACAACCAGATCCTCCTGGGTCTGAT